ACCACAGGGCTGTCAGCCAGCGCCAGCCACTAGCCCTTCAGAGCTCAGCCGCTGTCTCACAGGGATATATCTGCACATTCAGAGTAGCAAGGCCATTGGTCCTCAGCACGGCGCCCTAGTGAGGGGTCCTGGCCAGAGCTTGTCCTAGTCTCAGCTGCCCCTGGCCAGGATCGGAGCCCCGGCTGCCCCTGGGCCTGGATCTTGGCTGACTCCAGGAAGCCCAGCACCTCCTGCTCTTAATGCCAGTGGCCCTGTGGCCCCAGGACCCCAACCACTGCCTGGGACTCCAATATAAGCGTTGGTAGCACCCACCATGGGGTCAGGGTTCCCATGTGGCTATGAGGACAACTGTTCCCAAAAGAAGTACACCAGCTGGCAGAGAATCAGCCGGACTGAAGGTGCCTGAGGCAGGAGGGTGAGGTCTCAGGAGGGTCCATGGCAGGGGGAAGCAGGATCCAGACAGGTGGAAGGAGCTGTCCCACGTGTGTGCTCACCCATGACTTCTGTGTGACTACGCCCACCTGCGTCACACACTGCTCACATCATGTGTGGGTCCACATCCGGCCACCCTTTCCCACACCCCCGTGTGCGGCCTCTGTCCTGGGGGCCACCGGCATCTGTGAAGCTCTGCAGGCCCCTAACCTGAGCCCATCTGCTCACAATGGACGTAATGCATTTCTGTTTCTGGGCTGACTTTTCAGCCTTTCTCAGTTTGAAAGATGGCAAAATTCCCATATCTAAAACATGCAGTTCAACATGTTCTGTGGTTGTGGTCATGATGACATCCCTTCCTGTGCCCTCCTGTCCTTCCCTGGGCAGTCCTGGCCTCTTGGTCACTCTGGAGACACTGCAGGCTCTAGAGTTTAAGGGAAGTGGACCAGTGGCCCTTTGCCTTCCTCACTCATGCAGTGAGTGATTCTGAGGCTGGTGGGCCTGTCATAAGTCACCCACCACTGACTTGACGGTGGTGGCAGCTGCCTTCAGGTCCCCACAGGACAAGGAAGCCAGTCTATCCCCCATGCTAACTGCTGTGCAGGGCGACATCCTAACATAGTTGCCATGATCTTCCATTTCTCCTCAGGGCTGGGCGTGGCCAGTGTTTCTAAATTGCAGCCACAATTTAATCCACTCACATTACACAAAATGCCCAGCATTTAACAAGAGTGAATAAAGGCCTTATTTCTCATCATCTCCTCCAGAATTTCTCTGGTTCCTGAGGTGACCTGTGGAAACCAGTGTCTTTCTTGGATGGCTGGCATAGATGTCAGGCCACATATACCTGTCCCTCATGGTCCTCAGGGGAAACTGAGGACCCTGCAAGCCTGTCCTCAGGGGAAGGCGTCTTGTTCCCATCTAGCATCCATAGCCTCCACCTGGTAGAACCTCAACATTCAGCCAAAACTGCCCTACTCTGAGGCTGTCACACACAGAAGCTGGCCACACACTTCCAGAATGTCTATACCATGGACCTCACTCTCCTGTACGGCCCTGGATATAATAATCTGGTCCAGCCCTGCTTCCCTTGGGCCTAACAGGGTCTCCCATGGACAACTCTGCCTTTTGCAGCCCTGGACCTATGCAGAGCTGTCATTTGAGTGTTTTGGATGGATGCCTCCTCCCACTGGCCCTGCCCATGGTCCCTCTAGGCTGCCTTTCCATGCTTCTGATGAGATTAGAGTTCCCAGCTCTTCTCTCCCTGCTTATGGAGTGGAGAGCCATACTCCAGCTCTCTGCATCAGAGTCTGGCCCTCCCTAATGCTGCATCTCTGCCAGTGTCATAGCTCCATGATGCTTCCATTCCCAAGGTCCCAGCTGCTCAGAGAAATGGGCAAAACAGCTCTGGAAGCCATGTTCAGGAACACAGAAGCCAGAGGCTTTGGCTCTGGTCATTGTTTTCCTAGGAGCAAACTTGGCCGTTGCTATTTAACTCATCACAGTTTGGCCTCCAGCCCCTGCTGAAAAGGCTGGCTGGAGACCCAGGCACATCGCCAGGGTGGCCTGGCCAGCAGAGCTGTCTTGCTCTCCCTGCACCCCTGCCTCTTTCCCGGCACCATGCAGAGGACAATAGTGTGGTCTTCTGACTACTCTGCAGCAGCCAGGCTGGGAGCTCCGGACTCCTGTTGCCCATAGCAACTGCTGTTTGGGGTAAATTGTGTCCTGAACTCTAGGCTGGCTGGATGGCAGCATCCCACACTGCAACAGTGTTGATGTACCCTTTCTTTCCTTGGATCCTGGGTGAATACTCTGAGTGGGCTCTGCCAGTTTGAAGGGGAAGGAAATTGCTATGTGTCCCACAGGAGCAGTGGACTAGATGTTGGCTGAAAACAACCCTGTACATCAGAGCCACAGAGCCAGGCTGAGTCAGTCGCATAGGTGTTGTTCCAGCAAGACTGGGCCCAGTAAGCCCGAGTGCCGTGGTGGGAAAGAGAGCACCCAGGCCGCCTCACATGGCACTCAAGCTCTGCCTGAGAAAGATTCTCACCTGAGCACCCCACATGTTTGTTTGTTTTTTTGTTTTTTTTTGTTTTTTTTTTTGTAGAAGTGGGCCTTGAACTCAGGCCCTTGTGCTTGCCAGGCAAGTGCTTATTCTGCTGAGCCATCTCCCCGGCCCCTCCCCATGGCTTTAATGTGCCTGAGTTTGCCACTAACAGAGCAAAGCTCTGCAGAGGAAGCAGAGACCCACACAAGCTGGGCTGCACCCTGGGACCATTGAGGTCCAGGCACCTGGGCCTGGGTTTCCTGAGTGATTTTGTTTTCCCAACACCCCTGGTATCCCTGTGCCTTTATAGTAGAGTGACACTGGGGGACCCGAAGGCCAGTTCCAGTGGGAGGTCTGGGTTCTTCAGCCACTGTAAGCAGGATAGGATCCCAAATGTGGCAGACCTGAGAGTGTAGACCATCTTGGGGGTGGTGGGGCGAGGTATGCCTGTCAACCCCTTCCCCAGAATGGTGGACTCAAAGATATCACAGACCCAGGGCCTCGCCCACCTCAGCCTGTAGCCAGGCCTGGCCTTTCTCCCAATACCTGTGGGAGAGGCCACAGTTCAAAGAGACACTGCCCTGAGCTGAGCTGGCTCCTCACTTCCTGGGCAGCACCCGTGCTAGTGAATCAGTTCCCTCCATTCTGTGCCTTCGTGGGTCACCACTGCCTATGCAGGGTGGAGTTTGGAGAGTGGGGCTGGGTCGCCCAGTGGGGATGAGGTCACTGTGTAGAATTTATAAGGGTTCCAGGGACCCTGTACTCACCCTCCAGCCACAGGAACCTACACCTGGACAAAAGGAGGGAGGGACTGAGGGACAAGTCTCACTGGAAGACCACAGAGGGTACACAGCTCTGGGGCTTCCTGCTGGCACTGGGGCCACAGGCTGTGGACCTGGGGAGAGTGCCATGGTCACCTCTCGGGGTCAGAGGTCAACACAGATGTTGGTCCTGGAGGAGCTGCACAGGCACAAAGGTGCAGATCCATTTCTGGGCATTTCTGGGCTGTGGCACAAGCATCCAGGGGCACATGTGGCCTTGGGCATTCATGACTCAAAGCTAGGGCTGAACACAGACTCCATCCCACCCTAGCCCCATGAGATCACATTTCCTAGTTATTTAGGACACTGTCCCAACCTCTGCAAAACAGAGGCCACACCCAGCCTTGAGCAAGAGGCAGGCACTGTGGGCATAGTACAGAGCAGAGCCACAGCTCATCTGCACCTCCCCACCCAACAGGTCCTGGGGTTGCTCCTGGAATCTGCACTCCTGCTCCTGGGTTCCCTGCTGCTCAGTCTGAGGAGGACCCAAGAGACAGCATGGGGAGATGGGGAGAATTCCAAGGAAGGTTCTGAGGAAGATCTGGCCTTCCTGGGCCTGTCTTGCTCCTTGTGGGCTCCCTGTGCTCCTCCCTACGCCTTTCCCCAAGGGAAACTGGCCCTCAGCCTGCAGCTACACTCTGGGGTGGGGCTGGGGAAGTAAATTCACACCCTGGGGATTGGAGAGAGGCCTCCACCTCCATCCTGCCCAGAGGCCCGCCTCACAAGCTTCAGTAGCCTCAGTCTAATTAAGGCCACAGATGAAGATCTGTGGATGGACAGATGTGACTGCCACTCCCAAGAACGGAGGGTGGTTGCAGGAATAGAGACCACTGTGGATGTGGCTGGGGTATCCCTGACCTGGGGACAGTAAACAGCCTTTGGGTAAGGCTGTGGGTCCTTAGGAGAAGTGGACGGGTTGGGGCAGGACCCACAGGTAGCAGACTGGGCCCTTGGGGAGAGAGGAGACAGAGTAATTTGATTGCAGACAGAACAGTTGGCTGGGGAACAGGGTCCTTGGCTGAGGGGCAGGGCTCTTGGCTGGGGACAGAGTCCATAAATGAAGCAGGGCCCTGTGTGTGTGGGACAAGGCCCTCATTGGTGATGATGCAAGATTGGTGGATAAGAGGACACAGAACCTGCTAAAACGGGTCCTGAGATGGGCCTCCCATCCAGCCTTGGGCCTTGGGGTTTCCCTCAGGAATGAAGGAGGCCCACTGTGGCTGCCATGCAGGATGGGTCCTTTATGCACTGAGTTGGCAGTGGAGAGTCCAGCTGTCATGAGGACAGCCCAGCTCAGGAGACAGGAGTGTCCCTGGTGCCTACAATCCCTGAGCTTGGTACCTGCCTTTCTGCCTGCAGGCTGCAGGATTTTCTCATCTATAACATGGGTTTGTCCATCCCTGGGGACAGCAGAATCAACATCCAGGGGCTTCCCCTGGGGTGTCTGACTTCTCTCCCCCCCAGGACTCTTCTGCTGTGCCTGTCCTCCCAGGACCCTGTGTCCACCCTGATCACTGCTGGGTGGAAGTCACATGGGAATTCCCCGAGGTCACACCCAGCCAAGGGTCAGAGGATCCAGGCCAGCTAGAGGTTGGGTCTGTGTCCCTGGCCGTGACGCTCACCCGCCCCCAGCTGCAGCTTGTGGGCATCTCCGTGTCTGGTTGCCGCCAAAGCCATGGTGCGTTCACATTCCAGTCTGTCTTTACTGAGGGATGGCTGAGGGTTAAGGTCTGTGACTGGTGAGGGCCAGGCTGCATCCCTCTCGGCCAGTTCCTAGGACTGAAGAGAGAGAGGTTTCGGGGAGTACAGCCACCTGGGGCACTGTTGACCAGCCTGATACCACTGTGCCACAGGACCAGAAGGCCTGTCACCAACTAGTGGCAGCCCTGAGCCAAGCCCCGAGCCCTTCCACCTCAACAGCCAGCATCCTTGCTGCCCAAGGAGAAGCCACGATCTCTCGCCTCTGCTGTGGAGGGACATGGGGACTGACTTGCAGGGCTGAGAAATGATTAAAATGGGAAGAGCTGATGGGGCAGGGCCTGCAGCTCCCACACAGGCCATCCCATCCCAGGTCATCTCAACAGTGCTGCCAGGGAGCCACTGACACCAGGCATCAGGGTCACTTCCTGGTGACTTAGCTAATTTTTATGAATAGTAGACCAATCAAGAGCTGGCTGCTGTTAAGCAAACTGGGTGGAGGCCCTGTGGCCTTCAGCTACCCATAGAGGATGTCAGGGAAATCACTGTGATAAACTGGAAACTCATAAAGGTGAGACACTCAGGCTCAGTGATCTCAGCTTTGCAAAATCCACCTACATTCAACTGCCCAATTTGAGTGAAGGAATGCATGAAAATCTAAGGGGTTGGGCAGGTGTAGCTGGCACCACTGAGCTGGTGGCCTCCACCATGCTGTGGCCCTGGAGCCATGCCAAGGCCATCATCTTAGCTAATTTAAGCATGTTGCTGGCACCCCTGTCCGAGATCCAGTACCACCAGATTCTGCTGAGCAACAGTTGTACTATCTCTGACAGATGGACTGCTACACACACACACACACCCACACACACACACACACACAGCAGCAGCAGCAGGAAGACCCTGTACTGAGCTCTGGGTTTATCCATCCTGGCGGCTGCTGCTACCCAGGGATCTGAGTGGGTACCATACTGAGCAACCCTATCAGGCTGCCTCTGCAGAAAGGAGGAAGAGCTCAGCCATTGTGGCTGATCCATGGAAAGAAAGATGTGAATTGGGTCTCAGTCATCTGGAAATGGCCTTGACTGAGGCTCAGACCATTTCCCAGCATGCTTTGGTACCCATGGATTTGCGAACCTTGTCCCAGAGGTGAAAGCAGCAGGATTTCCCTGGCCTGAGGTCCGCTGCATCCTGGGGATAAGGGTTGAGCGGATGGACAGCGGGCAGAGACTCACACCAATGATCACATGAGAGTCCAGGGGCCACGAGCAGAGGCCTTGCCAAGGGGACAAACCAGCTGTTTCCAGAAGCTTCAGTTGGCAGCTGGAGGGCAGTGGCTGGTTTCACGCTAAGTTCTGGGACAAGCAAGGCCACCTCGATTTGCCTTGGGCCTGCTCAGGATAGTCCCAGTAGGGCTTCTCACTGGGTCCTGGCCTTCCTGAGTGTCAGCCCAGTTAGTACCCCCCAGGGCCAAAGCTAACTGTCTAGGTAAGCTCTGTGGGCACAGCTCCCTGGGGGCGCCATCTCTCCCTGGCCAGGCGACCTCTAAGTCCTCATCTGAACCCCATGAAACAGACCCCTGCGTCCCTGTGGGAGCAGCAGAGGCAATAAGCTTGTCTGACCTCTGGGGGCTCATCACCCATTTCTGTCCTACTGAATGCATATGTGCTGTACACAAGTGTTCATGTGCATGGCAGTGGGTACAGATGCCCTGTATGGCCTGGTGTACTTGTGTAAGTGTGGGTGTGCACACGTGTGTGGTGTATGGGTTATATGTGTGCACGTGGCTAATTACAGACATGTATGGTCTGTGTATGACCCCAAGCACTCCACACATGTGCCAGTATGTAATGCACACATGTGCACATATGTATGCATCATGTGAAGTGCATGTGCATGTATCTGAAAACACATGTACCCATGTGTGACATGGTGGTATGTGACTGAGAATGTACATATGCATGGGTGTGAACACATACATATTAAGGTGTACTGTGCACATGCATACATGACACAGGTGAACTGTGCACACATAAGCACACACATATACACTGTAGGTTGGTATGTGTAACTGTGTGTGCATACATGCACACGTGTGCGCACACAGATGTGTTGTGGCAGGGTGCATGTGTGCATGTAAACCCGTGCGTGTAGGTGTTGCAGTGTGAGGGTGCCCATGGCAGGTGCAGGCAGCATATCTTTTGGGTCAGGCTGGGTGTGGTCTCAGGAGGCTGAGTTGCAAACCCTGAGCTGAGCCCTGACTCAGCAGCTCAGACAGGGACAGGAAAGCCCCACCTATCTCCTCCTGCAATTCTGCTCCTGCTGGGGCCTCTGAGTGGCCATGTGGCTCCCTGGGCCCGCCTCACCCAGCTCTGAGGGCGCTCCCCAAAAGTCCAGGATCCTCACTGGGCTCGGATTACTGGCTGCAATCAGGCTGTGCCTGTACCACTGTTAGGCAAGAAACCCACGTGGCAGCGGCATGCAGCCCACATGGTTGGCTTGACAGGACAGTGGGCACCGATGCCCTCGTGACGTATCCCGGCTTTGGCACAGGAGCCTCCTCAGCAATGGGCCAGAGCCTAGAGCCAACCTGTACCTTCATGTCCAAGCTGAGCGTCTAGTAGAAATGAGATGCTGGGGGTGCTGATGCGGAGGCCACTTGTCAAGGGTGAGTCAGTGGGCTGCTGGCAGTCCTAGCCTTTTGCAGGGACCTTGCACAGAATGCCCGCAGTGCCGCTGTGAGACCTGTACCTGGTCTGTGGCCATATCCCAGTGGGGCGGTGCCAGTCACCTGCCATCAGCACCTGCAGCAACTGTGAGCAGGAGCCACCTTCCTGCCCGTCCTGTCTCTCATGCCCTGCTAACTTTTTCTGTGTGCCCTTTAAAAGATCCACCACGCCACAGCCAGGGCTCACTCCTAGTGGTCCTTTGTCTAGTGTGGTCTTGGGGCTGCTCAGAGTCTCTGCCATGACAGAATGGTCTACCCCTTGTGCCCCTAGTTCAGCCAACCCTGGAGATGGATGCGGAAAGCTGGGTCCAGATCAAGGTACCTTCTCCAGGGCCACCACGCCGTGCTTGGCCTTCCTCCTGGTGGTGTATGGGATGCAACACACCCAGCTGGTCTTTGTCCTGCGGGTCAAGAGTGGGTGAGTGAGAAGCCCCCAGTATGGCTGCAGGGCATGTCTGGCAGTGGCTCTGCCCCAGACATTCCCTCAAGTGCCTGCCACCAAGTCCCAGGCCAGCAGGTACAGGAACAGATGTCTGTAGTGTTCCTGTCCTGTCGTCCTGCTCTAGAGGCACTTTGGATACTAGATGCTCACTGACACAGACACACCTTCCCTGGGGCCCAAACCAGAGGTGCAGGACAGGAGTCCCTCAAACATGGTAGTGGTAACTTCCTGTTTTCCACTCTGCTTGGGGCCAAAGCTGCCCATGTGGCAGCAAGCAGGCCACTAGTGCATGGAGGCCTATTCCCATTGCCCCAGGAAAAATGGGGTGCAGGTGGTAGGAGAGGGAAAGGGAGGAGCCAGCCCTAGTGCCCAGCCTGGCCAGGCCTGTGTGGCAGCCCTGCTGTGGGGCTCCCAGCAGGTGGTACAGTCCTGGGGAAGAAGGCCTAAGCCAAGACCCATGGCCCTGATTGTCCAGCCTGTGAGGCAGAAAGCAAAGCCACCAAGGGCCAGCCAAATAGCTCAGTGGATTAAAGCACCTGCAAGCAGGTTAAGGGGCTGGCGGTTTGATCCCCAAGCCTGCAGTGCTGGCCTTGCTCCCAGGGTGCGCTGAGATAGCAATTGAGACTGGGTGTGGTGGTGCATGCCTGTAATCTCAGCTCTTGGGAGGCTGTCAACAGGCGGATCACTACACGAGTCCAATCTAGTAGTGAGATCCTGCACACCCTGTAGACCCTTCCCTAAAAAAACCAAAAAGCAAAAAACAAAGCCACCAAGCTGAATGCCCTGTGGTCAAATCCATCACAAAGAAATAAGAAAAATAACTCTTATATGTGAGAAAAACCAGGGACGGCCCAGAGCTCGGAGAGTGGCCAGAGCCCGGGTTAGGTTGGGAAGGCAACACAGCAGGGAGCTCCTGAGAGGGACCAGAGTCCCTTCCCCAGCTCCAGAGATGAAGAGTGGAAGAGATGATGGTGAGGCCTCCACAGAGGGCCACAGTGAGACACTGCCAGACCCAAGGCCCCACCTCTGGAGTCCTATCTCTAAGAGGGCTGGCGTCACGAGAGCTGTCCCTCCTCATGCTCATCCACGTGTCCTTAGCTACAAGAAGGCAGGTACCAGTGTCACAGACTGATGGCAGTTTCTCCTTTACCTCTGTCAGCAAGTAAGTCAGACTGCACTACGCTGTTAATTCTGATGGGTGTGGGGGGGGTGGTAATTGCCATTTTGTCTTTTATTTCTCTGTGTTGTCTGTGATAAAGCAAACGAGATCGGCAGGCCCTGCCAGAGACAGGCTTCTTGCTGACTCAGTCCTAACGTCCTTGTGGCAGAGCCTCAGGGCCAAAGAAAGCCTTGACTTAGCTCAACCACATGGTGTCCGGTGGGAGGCCTGGGTTGTCAGGACCAGTGTGCCCATGGTCCTAGTAGGCCTGAGCCTGGGCTGAGAGGAGGCTGCCATGCCATGCCTGCTACACGTGGCCTCCAGCCCCGAGGACCAGGATGGATCCTCTGCAGCTCAACTCAGAAGGAAAGTCTAACACCAGCACCACCCATTACAACCTTCTGCTTCCTCCTGTCCCTCTCTTCTGGCTGTGTTGCTGGTGCAATTGGGAGGTGAGCCCAGCTTCTGGAGCAAGGTGAGCTCTGGGGAACCTGTCCACAAGCCCTTGGTGGTTCGTAGCCCTGCTGTCTGCTCCTCAGCCCCTGTAGCCTCAGTCTGCACTCCCTGCACACCCAGCATGATGAATGCCCACACCCAGTGCAGAGAATAAGCCCATCTGTACCCTGGTGCCGACCCACAGTGTCACTCACTCATCTTCTGACAGGTCCCCTGCATCCATCTGGGCCTGCATCTCCTCTCTCACGGCACAGGTGATCACCTGTGGGAGAGGCAGGGGCTGTTCAGGAGACAGAGTGTCAGCCTGAGAGAACTGTCCAAGCAACAGGCTGGGGCAGAGACAGCACAGAGGCCACCAGACAGACTGCCAGGTGGGATGCCTAGCTGAGAACTCTGGCCACACAGCACACCCTGAGGTGGGCTCCACGGCCCCTGGGCTGCAGGCCAGGCAATCTGGCCCTTTGGTCCAATTCTCCTACCTGGGGCCCTCCCGGGAGCCCCCACGCAGTTCTGCAGGGAGTTAAGGGACAGTTCTTTCCAGCCTGGGTTGTGGTCTGAGGGCAAAGGGGATAAAGATTACAATCTAGAAGGAAGGAACTTAAACTTGCCAACAGAGAACTTCAAGGAATTGTAAAAAAAAAAGATGACTGCTCACTATGGCACAGAATCAGAGGGCGAGACTAGGTAGCTGTGAGAAGGGACCAGACAAGTGCAAGCAGGGTCTGGGATTCTGTTCTGAGCGCTCTACAAATAGCCCCAGCACAGTGGTACCACTGTGATGCCCACTCCAGAGGACGGTCTGGAAGCACGGGCGGTTGTAGAGCTTTCTGAGCAGTTAGAAGCAAAGCCCCATGTTCGCCAAGGCCAGACCTGCTAGTTCCCAAGCCATGCCATTCTGCCACCCCAGCATGAATTCACATGGGCTGTAGGGCCCATGAACATCTCAAGGGTTGAGCCCACACCAGTGTGGGTGTGCATGACAGTGAGGAAGGGCACGGAAGGAGTGAGAGTGTCCCCAGTGTCCCCCTGCCAAGTCCAATCCTTGATCCAGGGAAGTATCCCTGGAGTGGTTGGTCCTGGGTCTCTGCCTCATGATCCAACAGCCTGTAAAGGGAGCATTTCCAGAAGGCCTTTCCAACCCAGCTTGCACAGTGCAGGCCTTTCCCCATGTGCAATTTGTCTTTCTCATCTGTGAGATTTTGTCTGTACCTCCTCAGCCTGATCTCCAAGGTCAATCTCCACAAATGCAGATGGTTTCTGTGGTGGAAAGAGGGATGGTGAGCTCAAAGGAAGCAGACTCCTAGGGACTTGGGGAACCAGGCCTACCAGGTGCTGGCTATGCCATGGGGGCCGGTGCCTGCACAGCTGGTGAAGGGGCAATGACAGGTGACCCCACATTCTTCACAGGGTCAACTCTGGCAGGACAGTATACTCCATGCTCACCTTCCATGCTGACCCCCTGAGACTCCAAGACCCCAGAGCCTTCTTTGTGTTTTAAGCATCAATGTCTCTGGGTGACAGGGCAATGCCAAGACCCAGGGAGCCCCTCCCAGTCCTGCTCACTCGGGCATCACTCCATTCCTAGGAGGTGAGGACACACACCGGGTAGCATGGTTCCCATGGCCCTGTGTATGGCTGCTCATGGTTTCCATCCAGGCATCATGGGTGGCCCAGAGCCATACCAAGGGCCACCTGCTACAAAGTCCTGGTGACACTGTGTCCAGCTGTTCTCATTCCCCATGGCCTGGGAGGGAGAGGAGATGCCCACCTCCTTTCACAGAGTGCCCTGTAAGAATTCCCAAGATGGCACCAGAGCAAGGGGTGTGGGCAGGTGGAGGCTCAGCTCCTGTTAGGATCCCATATCTGTAGTGATGGTGCTGATGGCAGGCAGAGAGGATGCCCTGTATCATGCAGGAAAGGAGCTTGGCTTACAGGCTCTCAGGGAGAGGAGGGCATGGCCAGCATCTACATGACCCAAGGACCGCAAACCCACAGTGCCTGGGGACTTGCTGGGCCTCAAGTACGATGTATAGCTGACTTCCACTGGAGAAGCACAAAGCTCTTGCCTCTTTTTCCAGAAGGCTGACCAGCTTTAGGGGCTCCAGCTCCTGCTCCTCCTGTAAGCCCGAGAGAGACAGCAAGCTGAAGCCCAAGATGATGTCAGTGTTCATCCAGATACTGTCCACAGACCTGGGCAACTGACCTTCGCCTCCATTGGGCATGGGCCTGCGCCTTCCTGCTCCCTCTTGGTGCTGGCCTCTGTGCTGCTCCTCTCAACATCTGGCTCCAGTTTTCTACTGTTAGGGTCTGGGGTTCCCTGGGCATCCTGGTCCTTCTTCCTGTCTTCCTCTAGGTCTGCCTGGCTGTGGGCCAGGGAAGAAGGGTCTAGGATCAGTGTCTCAATGAGATAGCTTCAGGTGGTATCTCTTCTCCCTCCTGGACAGCCCAAACACTGGGTGTGATGCCCTGGAAGTGAGCAGCTGCAAGGCCATTCTATGACAGAGGGCTAGGGCACAACAGCCTTCGAACCACTGGCCTTGTGAGGCACCTGACTGCCTGTGCTAGCGGGCAGCTAACAGCTCGCTGGGCCCATTTACAGAGCCGCAGCTAACTGTGCTAGGACCAGCGCATGGCCCAAGGGCATGGTCACCCATACGCAGGGACTTCCTGCACGGAGACCACATTCATGGAGACCAAGGTGACAAGAAAGGTGGCAATGAGGAACCACAGTGACCATGACCAATTTGGGACTTGGGTGGTTGTGGCTCTTGACTTTGTGGACATGGGGGGACATGTCCAATTGTGCCACTGAAGGGCAGTTGTGGTCTCAGCTCAACCCTGCTCAATACCTGACCATCCCCTTATGACAAATCAGCTGCCCCTTTCCTGGATTCATGGTGAGAAGGACCCTCCTTGTCTTTGATCTGGGACTTCTTGTAACAGCTGGGCCCCCACTTAGAGTGATGGTGATGTATTGGTGTGCCAGAGAAGCTCTGGGGGCAATTCAGTGACTTCAGCCCCTTGACAATCAGAAGAGGTGTGCAGGGGGCCAGGCCCCCAGGTCAGATGGCCAGATGCTGTCCTCTTGAGTCTCTGCCATCCTGCCATCTGGTCTCCAATCTGTCATAGTGTTTCACTCCCTTCCCTCAAGATGCGCCTCTGTGGGCCCACAGACCCCAGATAAGATGGCGCCCCCTCCCCAGGAGGAGTGCAGTGGCAGGAGTGTAGGTGGGATGTTCTCCGAGGTGCTGCTGACACCCTCAGGCCAAGCCAGCTAGGCAGGTGGGTAAGTGAGTCACCATTTCCTGCTCCTACTTCTAGAGCCCTGGGGATGCTCTGAGGTGTCTTCTCCAGAGCCCCAGGCTGTGAGCCTGCAGCCCAGCCTAGTACCCCACTGAGGCAGACAAGGGTGCTCACCCACTGGCGTCATCTGCGTCTCTCCTTAGGTCATGGCCCTGATCTTCAAACTCTGAGAATCAAGAAAGGAGCTGGTCAGTGCCACCCGATGCCAATATGTGCTACCCTGAATTCCTATGGCTCACCACCCCTGGCTGCTTCAGGAGGCTTAAGACCTCCTGACACTGCAACTCATAACTGAAGTGCTTCCTGCCTCAGTCACCTCAGCCTCAGGCCCATGTTTCAAACTCTGTGGGCCATCTCTACCTGGACATTTCCACACTTCCATGCCTGGCCTGGAGCCCTGGGTCTGCCACCTTCCACCCATAGCAGAAAGTTGTCCCCACCCTGTGCCTCGCATCCGTATCCTGTGTCCCCATCCCGTGCGTGTCCTTGCTCTGAATCTCTACCCAGGGTCCATGCTCTGCACCCTCCCCGTGGGACTCAGAGGCTCCATTCCACCAGTGAGGCCCAATGTCTCCAATATGCTCCTCCCAGCAGAGCTGGGAAGTACAGTGGCTCAGAAGGAGTCCTTGTCCTGAGGGTCAGGAGCAGTGGACCTGGCTGGAGAGGCAGGAAGAGCATCCTCCACCCTCCAGGCCCTGGCTGAGCAGGCAGCGGTGTCCTAGGGACGCTGGGTGCAGAGGCTTCCTGGGCTTCGATGGCCGTCGGTGGGGCATAGTTGGCCTTGAAGGGTTTTGTATAGACCTGGCCTGGGGACACTAGGATGGAGGGGTCACCGCACACTCTGCTGGATATCTCGACTGGCCTGCCCCTGTCCAAATGCCCTCCCTGGCCGGGATACTTGAGAGCTCTACCCATGGGAGTTCAGCTCCATAAGCTCAGCACACCTGGTTTGGGCTGTGCCACTGTCACTTCTCAGCCCACTGACCTTGGGACCCTGAGAAGGTAGCCTTGGGCTCCCTGCCTGTGGTTTTCAGAGGTTCTCTTCCAAGGGTCCAGGATGTGGTGTCTCTGGACAGCTCACAGGGCCATAGTCCTCCCAACCACAGTGATTCAGGACTCATCCTTGTAGACAAGGATTTTAATAGCGACTTCCGGGTCCCTGAGCCTGCATGTCCCTGTGCCCTTTGTGTCACAGGGCATGTGGAGAAGCCAGGCAGTCTCCCACCTCCTTCCTGCCCAGAAGCCCCTCCCTAACCCACAGTCATTTTGAGTCTCCTTCCTGGGGGACTGTGCCCTCACCCCATTTCTCCTACCCACTGCCTCTCCTACCCAGCTCCCTGCGTGGCCTCCTGGGGCAGCTCAGTGGGTCCCCCTTCTGCAGCAGGCCACCCACACTCCTGCTTCTCTGGAGTTCGGGCCCCTCGCTGGCTGCTTTGCTGAGCCCAGGGCCTGTGCTACAGAGTGGGACCCCAGGGCCAGGTCGGTGCCTCCTGTGTGTGGCAGGGTCCTTCTCCATCCTGACCACGGAGGGGGCTTCCAGCACCACCTCAAGCTGAGGCCATAGCTGGCAACCTGGCTGTGGCCTCTTCTCCAGGGGAGCAGTCCAGTGTTGCCAGGGACCTGCTGTGACATCACTGCAGTCAGGGATCAAAGGTTAGCCAGCCAACACAGCCTTCTCTGCAGACCCCGGTAGGTGACTTGGCTATCCCTTTCCCTTTCAGCACTTCTCTCTCTTCCATTAGAAAAGATGGAGCCCAGGCTGTTCTGCTGGAAGGCGCTAACCCACACAGCTAACCCACATCAGCTTTCCAGGCCAGACTGATGCCCATGTGGGAACCTGAGTGCAGGACCACAGCCAGGGAGCCAGTCCTAGAGGCTGAAGCTGAAGTCAAGGTGTGGCAGGCGCACTCTGCCAAGGCCTCTCCCAAGCATGCGCATGGATGGTGTCTTTTCCCTGTGTCCCAGGGGACATCTCTGGGGCTGGGCCCTGATCAATTCCTGAAAGTAAAGCAGAAGTCTCAACCTTTCTCTGCCACTAAACTCTGATAAATCATTTGTCATCAAATTAAAACTTCTCTAAATGTGCTAAAAACAATCTTGCTACATGCATCTCTGCTCACCACAAGATACCCACTATGACACGGCCTTCAGCTGAAGCTTATCTAGCTCTAACTTCTGCTTGCCACCCTATAAAAAGATAAACTATGATCAGTGCTTCAGACTTTGCAGAGTACTCCTCTGGGGTCCACTGGGTGTTATGACCCCTTTCACCTTCATCTCGTCCCAAGTTTCTGTTTCCAAATGCCTTTATGCTCTGCAGTGAGTACTAGGACTTCAGCCTCTAGTTTTGAGGCCACAACTCAGCTCCTGCCCAGTCTAAGAGAGGGTGTTTAGCACCCTATCCAGCACAATAATCCAAGCCAATGGCCTGAGAATACAATGGGTCTAGGCTGGGTAGAAGGAGAGGCAGGCAGAGTCGGTGTAGGTTGCATGTGATGTGGGAACTCATAAGCAAACCAGGCTGAGCAGAAAAAGGATTCCTGACAGAAAGCATCACGGGAGAAGAGGGTTCAGGGAGCAAGGTCTGTATGCAGACACCCCCCTGCCCTGGTTCTCCAACTAGCACCTGGGCTCTGTGTCGCTCCAGGGAGAAAAGGCTCCACTGGCCTGCTCCCCACCCAGAATAGAGGCTGGAGAAGTGGGGCACACCCTCCCTGTCCCTCCACACCCTCCTGAGACAGAGGGGGTGCCCAGGCATCTCTGTCCTTGTGCCAGCCCTGGATACAGGATCCCCTATGAAACATCTGGACCCCCGGAGTTTCAGAGAGATTTGCCTCACTGCAGAATAAGAAAGAGCTGGAAAATGAAAGCCAAATGGGGACAAAGAAGAATAAGGAGATGAGGACCCCCTCTCAGTGCCAGCCCAGCCATGGCCTCCAGCCCTTCACCCTCTGCCCAGGACAGAGAGCCTGTTTTCTCTGCTCAGGGCAATGGCCTCAGGCTTGGCACTGCACACACGGCTGCCTTCCCATCCTCTCTGAGCCCACCACATGGCTGCATCTGCTGGAGCCACCTCACCAATTGAGCAGGAGACAGCACCTGTCCCTGGAGAGATGCTACTTGTGACTAGAGACGAACTCACCTGTCATTAGAACAGTGTCCTCCATCCCCATGGCCCCTGAACCCCACGTGGTTACCAGAGAACCCCTTGGGAAAACCAAGCCATCCCAGAAAGAATAAAACATGTGCTTTAATTGGCAGTAAAATACATCACAAACCATTAGTATTTTATAAACAGAAACATTTAAGTTACAAATCCAAGTTAAAAACTTCAGTTCAGGGCAGCCCTGTGACAGTTGTGTGTCCACAGTTTCTTTTCACACTTTTCTCCACAACCTCTGTGACCACACGCAGTCACTGTCTGCCTACTGGACTAAGGGTGAGCTACAGCAACTCTGGCAAGAATGGGGAGAAGCTGGCAGGAGGGTGCACAGCAGTGCCCAGGGTAGGCCTCTCCGGGTCCTCGTGCAGTGCCATAGTGACACGGCTGTGGCTGTGTGGGGCCCGCTGGAGAGGCCCCCGTGCCGACCCAGGACCCACCATCTGGCTGGGCTTGAGGCTCAGAGATGGAGTGAATGCTGCTCCAGCCTTCTGCATGGCCAGGGGGTAGCCGCTGGCCCACAGGGTCCCCCTTGAGGACTTCAGCTGGTGTTTGTGAGATGTGTCTCCCTCCATTGCATTGGTTTTGATTCTTTGTTACCTTATATCAAAGAGCAATTAAAAATGGTCCTTTAAAAAAAGTTAACAAAAATGGTTTGAAAAATGCACACTTCTATTTTTAAAATCTTCCTCAAACTATGGCAAGCATGTGAATTCTAGCTTTAAACCTCATCCAACAGCAAAACAACGTGTGCGGACCCAGGGGCCAAGTGACCCCCAGAGGGGAGCGACCCACACCACCTTCCCTCCCCAGCTACTCCAAACCCCACAGGGTTCCGAGCTTGGGACCTCTGTGCTGCTCTGCAGGTCCCAGGCACAAAGCAGAGGCTCGGGCCAGGAACAAAGCCACAAGGGCTGGGTGGAAAGGTCAGCAACTGGCTGCAGGGCAGCAACTTTGTGAGGAGAGAATAATACTGTTAAGACCCGCACAGGACAAAGCCGAAATTCAAGGCTGGGGCTGCATGGGTGTGGAGACCAGCGCAGCAAGGACAGGGATGGAAGCGCAGCTCTGCACAGGGCAGGGGTCATGCTGGCTGGACTGCCCGTGGCTCCAATCAGAAACTGGTGTGATTGTGAGAAAGTCCACACTTCCAGGTCACTCAGCTGACCCCTGGATCCTGGGAAACCAGAGAGTGCAATAAGGCAAACAGGCCCCCGTTCCAGAAAGGCCAGGACCACCCGCCCCTGGCAGACGGTAGGGTACATGGCAGCTGCCTCTTGGTTCTGGAGGGGACATGGATGCCCTTGAGGCACCAGCAGCCCACTGGTCCCATGTGCATGCAGAGCCCGAGAGCCTCCTGTGTGCATTCCAGCCACTCGGCTCTTCTTGGCTGAGGGAGGTCAGTGCGTCCTGCCGCAGCTCGCTGGCTCCATCCAGAAGTGCTGCGGGCCTCACATGGAGTGGGTGGAGACCTCTGACTGCTGCCTGATGTAGTTCTGGAAGCTCTTGTCTCCGATGGGATGCTCCCTGCAGGGTTCGGGGGAGCAAATGAGGCACTGCCCCTCGAGGCGTGGTGTCCTGGTACTCCGTAAGCTTTACTTATGTGTCCACAATATGACATGATATCAACTGCGTTCAGCAAAGGGCAGGGCAGGGCAGAGGTAGTTTAGACCTCATATGGAAGGGAGGCCAGTGGCTCTAACATGTGGCATGCTTAGCAGCACGTGTGTTCATATTGTATACGTGTACATGTGCAGATCGTGGGTAAAGTGCGCACACATGCAGAATGCATGTGCAGAGCTGCACACTGCATACAAAGTGCCTTGCTGCAGATGCGCATAGATCACGTGTGCAAGGTGTATGTGCATGTGTGGACTGTGTGTGGGCTATGCACTTAGGCAGCCTGCATGTATGCAATGTGTGCGTACAGCACAGGCAGAACACATACATGTAAGAGAGCTCTAAGAGGTTCACGCTGCCCCTGGGTGTTGCTGCTGTGCCAGTGGGCTCCTTGTGAGGTCCGGGGTGGGGGGATCTGACAGTCAGGAGCTAAGACAGTAGTCCAGGAGCTGGGTCAGAGCTACACCCAGGAGGCACTAAGCTTAATACTGTGGGCAGCCTGGCCCTGGGCAATGCCAGTGCCATCTCTGACCCTGACATGTGGGTTAGGCACACAGATTCAGGAGTCCAGGGCTGACCCAGCTGTGCAAGCCTAGGTGCCACTGGACAGAAGCAGTGCCTTAAACACCTGCTCTTGTGGGCCAGGCCCCCTCCAGCCCTTGGCCATTTGACTCAGTTTCTCCTACCCCTGTCCTGCTTAGCCTGCCCCAGGCTCTCAGGCTGCAGCTGGTGGCTGGGGTGAGTAGGCTATGGGACAAGTCCTCCCTGCCACATGCCCTGCCCCTTGATCCTCAGGACAGGCATGTGGTTAGTCCAGAGCCATTCCTGTGCTGAGCACTTTTGTGGCATGTGACACAGGGGGCAGGTGGGACTCAGCCAAGGTATGGAGAAGCAAAACTAGGCAGCACCTGCCCTGCAGCCCTGTACTCACTGGCTCCCATAGCGTGTCTTCTTGAACTTGTCCCTGCGGTGCTGTGCATGCTCCTGCTCTAGGGCCACCACGCTGGTGATGACCTGCCTCAGCGTCTTATAGGTCTCCTGGGGGTCATCGATGAGGAATGTGGAGTATTCCTCCTGCTCGGGGCCATCGTACACAGACCTACTGCCACAGGCCTCTGTAGAACAGCACAGGGTCGGTATGGGTCCAGTCACCACCACCATCTCCACTTTCTGCTCAACCTGTTCACAGCCCAGTCCTAAGAACTGCCCCTCCAAGAAAGGCTGCCACTCACACAAGGCAGAACTAGGGGCTTGGGAGCTATGTCTTTATGGTCAGCATACAGGAGGGCCCTGTGCCCTTGCCATTCTTTTGGGATGACCTGCATGTCACCTGCACCTCTGTCGAAGCTGGGAGAGAAGATGTCGTGCCTGGAGACAGGCTAGCCCAAGGGCCATGGTCACCGCTGCTTCCCCAGCCACTGCATGGCTGCCACCATACCGCATCAACACTTGCAGCTGCCTCAAGACTCCATGTCCTCTGTACAAGGCCTGTGTGCTCAGAATGCGCCCGCATCACTGTGGCCATTGCACTCACCCTGCATCTTCTCCAGCTTGCCCATGTAGGAGCTGAAGAGCGAGTAGATGCGCTCCGTCTCTCGGTCTCCATCGATGTCCAGCTGGATGTTTGCCGGGAGGCCACTGCCAACAGAAAGCGCAAAGAAGAGCAATGCTTTCCTGCTGGTGCACAGCATCACGGCACTTTCTAGTGCTGTGGAAAAGAAACTGGAACAGCCTGCAGGAAAACCCCGCCCTGGCTGAGGCTGAGTGTGAGGAAGGACTGTCCAGCACAACTGTGGAAGTGATGGACTGGAAGGCCTGTCCAGCCCTGGGTGCTGGGAGTCTTGGACCACAGTGCAAAGTGATGAGCCACGCGGAGCGGTCTGAAAAGGCTCTCGGGGGCAGCTGCTCCGCCCTGAAGGCCTGGGCCTTCTACCGCTCTCTGGGGTAGATAGGGACACAGAGCACTTGTACCAAGCTCAGATTCTGCATGCTCCAACCGGACATGAGTTCCTCAGGTCAACACACTGCAAGGATTCAGTGATGGAGCATGAAACCCCGGTGACAATCACATGTTCATCCTCTCCAGGCATCGGCACAAAAAGCCGTTACTGCTCCTGCTTGACCTCACAAGTCTCACGGAGTCTCAGTAGGGACACTGCCAGCCCCAGGGGCACAGAGGCGACATGGGCACCCAGGCCACCCTGCCAGGCCTGGCACGGGTTAGAGGCAGAAGTGACAAGGCTAGGGGAATCACAGTGCCTCTTTTCCCAGAATGGAAGGGAACAGGGATGCTGGCAGGCAAGAGCTCAGGAGGAGGCCATCTCCTCAAAGCCTAGGGGCATCAGGCAGGGCCGATGCAGCTCCCCAGGGTAGGGTCCTCAGGGAGGACCAGGGCCACCCTGACTGGCTTCTGAGGGCTGGGGTCCTGGCCCACCTCCCTGTACAGTGCCCACATGAATGGGCTCAGGAGGCATGGGCCTACCCGGTGCAGGGGGAGCAGCCGGCGGCCATGTCTGAGGAGGCTCTGCAGCACAGCCAGTGGCCATTCAGGTAGGCAGCTGGATGGTAGACAGACAGGCGTTGCTGGTTGCGCTGGCTGACCTTGGTGAGGACATCAATCCAGTCCCTGGCCTCCACACAGTTGTTAGCTTGGATGTATAGTGCACGCTCTGGCTGGATGACCTGGAACATCTGCAGACAGGAAGGGACTCAGGACCACCAATCTGCAGACAGGAAGGACCTCAGGACCACCAGGTCCTCAGGCTGGGCTGCATCATCACCTCCAAGTGGTGCCAATGCCGGACAGGCCCTGGAGCCACCATGCTGGCCTTCGAGATGGAGAGAGGGGGCCGGAAGGAGGCGGGGATACCCCTTGGGCCAGGCCGACACAGGAAAGTAGAGTTTCAGAGGCCTGTCCATGTCACCTGGTTGGCCACATCTGGTCCCGGGGCCTCAAGGGCCTCTATCAGCAGATAAGCACCCAGTGGTCCTCAGGCAGCCCCCACACTTGGCCACCCTACACCCCAGCCTCGAGGTGCCTGCTGCTTTCACCCCGACCCCTAGGCTCCTCCTCTTCCTGCCCCCATCACATGCTACTTCCTCATGAGGCTTCTCAGGGTCCCACTGCCTTTGCTACTTATTTTCCATTCAACAAACATTGCTGGGTGCCACGTACCACCCTAGGGACATATGCCACAGAACAAGCAGTGCAGGAAAGGCCTGACAAGTTCAGCCCTCCAAATGAGGTCAGAAAGCATAAACTCATCAGGAAGAATTGCGGGGGGGGGGGGGGAATCACAGGAAGAGGAGATAAAGGGCACAAAGGTTTAGGGCAGTACGGACAGTAGGTGCAGAGGTCTGGCTGGGGTGGGCCAGGTAGCTCCAAGGAGCATGGGGTTGGGGCGTGAGCAGACTAGAGCCCAAGGTTGTCGCCAGGGTAGCAGGGGAGACGGAATCAGGACTTCCTTGGTGGCCTCCCCAAGGAGAAAGGGATTTCAGAAGTTCTAACTCTGTTTCTGGGTCTTCAGAGTGCAGAAACACCACCCTGCACGCACGCCGCATGTGCCCTTGTGCTCATGAACCAGAGCATGCTGACACTATCGTTATCAAGGGAGCTGTCTGGACCACCATCCCAGGTCGGACCTCACAGGGGTGTCTGCTCAGAAGCGAAACTGTGTGGCAGCCGCTGAATGACCCTCCTTTGGTCAGAAAGAAAAGCAGCCCACACCAGGGCTACGAGCCACAAAGAAAGGTGGGACAAGGTCCTAGGCCACGGGGTGACAGAGACACACTGGGCTGACCCAGCTCTGGCCTGGGAGGCAGGAGCCCCGGGAAATGGTCATGTGTGAACATTGGAGGCTCCTGCAGACTCGGTACCAGCACTGGTTCGAAAGGGACGTGGACATTGCTCATGGAGAGAGCAGGAAAGAGGTGGCCAGCCGGTGGCACAGCACTGAAGCCAGGGAGCGTGCACAGGGTCCCTATGCTATTCTTTGTGACTTTAAGTTCAAAATTATATGAAAGTAAAAAGCTTCCAAAAAGAAACTCCAGAACCTATGTCCTTTAAGGAACCCTTCCTCCTTGTAAGTTGATTTTCTTGGGCATTTTGTCACAGTGACGGTTGCTGTGCCTGTGCCTGGTCATGCAGTTCAGGAGCTGTCGGGATTGGTTTGTGAGTAGCTTGGAGATAAGCACCAGAGAAGCCTAGAGTGCTGCAAGGGGAGCCCAGTGCGTGGCTCTGAAGGAGAGACCGGAAGGCCACAGCAGTGTGACAGCAGACTGAGGTTTCAGAGGGGAACACTCTGTGGGGAAGTGGACTAGAGGCCATTCCTACTACCTTCCAGCAAAGAACTTGTCTACATTTTGTCTGGGCTGTGAGCCTCCTGTGAGATGGGTTTAAAGCTGATGGTCTAATCTGGGGTGGTGAACCTGTGGTACGTGTGCCACAGTGGGCTGCTTGTTATCACTGGAAGCTCTAAAAGGTTCACTGCTACTCTTTAATTCAAGGCAGCTTAACACTCAGACAGTGGCAAGGGTATTGCTGATTGCTTTGAGCAAGGTTTACAGTAAGGATTGGGAGCAAAAAGCCAAGAAAAATGACTTGAAAACTTGGAGTTTGGCCAGAAAGGAGGCCCATGTAAAGTTCCAGCTAAGGAAGGTATAGAGGTGAAAGACATTAGTACTCTCAACACATGGAGAAGCCAGGCCCTTGGCAACAGGAAAGACGCTTGATGATATCTCACAAGTAAGCAAGTGGGGCCAGCCAGAGAGCTCAGTGGACTAACGTGCCTGCCTTAGGCAGAGTACAGGGGCTGGGGGTTTGATCCCCGGCATGCTGTGCCAGGCCTACCCTTGGGGTGTGTTTAGATGGCAGCTGAGACTGGACATAGTGGTGTGTGCCTGGAATCCCAGCACTTGGGAGTTCAATCTATGCAGTGGGACTCTATACACCCTGTACTAAATACATTTAAAAAAAAAAAAATTAAGAAACCAACAAGACCTCACCTACAACCCTGGCTTCCTGGGGAGCCATTTTCCTAGGAACTGTTTTGCTATTATTCTTTTCCCTACATTTAGTCACCCCCACACTCAGAGTCTACTGCAGCTGTGGTCCCAGAGGACCCTGCTGCTGCTTGGACCGGGGACAGGGCTCAGTGCTGGCCACAGAATGCTCACTTTGCAGGCATGCAGAAGGCAAGCACTGCAAAGGGGTGGGGTGCCCCACTGAAGCTTCAAGAAGAGCTCGAGAAGCCACAGGCAGCAGGGTCAGAAGCCAAGCAGAGGGACTCTGGGATTGTGATGCCTGAAGCTTTAGGGTGAATCCAGAGCTGCAATGCAACCATAGGGAGCTGGAAGTGTCAGGAATGCGGAACGCAGGCGAGGAAAGATGCAGGTGGTGAGTGACGGAAGCCTGCCCCAGACAGAGACCATGTGGGCTGTGGCCAGACTGAACACACCAGCAGGGCCACCAAGCCGTTGGAGCTCACATCTCACCAGACGGCCTGGCTGCTGGACATGGAGCTACAAGACCACACGCTTGCCCTGCTGGGTTCTGGTCTTTGCTGTGACTCCTTCTTGCTATTTTCTTTTCTTTTGGGATGGGAATGTTTATCTTGGGAGTATGGGACTTTCACTTCTATTTTTATAGTTCAGGATTTGCCTCAAGTCTGAGAGGAGACTCTGGACTCGGACTTTCCTGCACTATGGAAATGCTGAGACTTTAGGGACCTTTACAGATGGACCAAACGCGACCTGATTTGTGATATGGACACAAAGCTTAGGGGGCCACGGGCAGGCCGTGATCTGGATCCTAACAACCTCCCCCAGGCCTGTGCTATGGATGGCAGTGTCAGAGGTATAGACCCTCTAGACAGGGGCCCAGTGGTGGAGTCCGGTCACTAGGGATGTGCCCTTGAGGGGACACTGGGACCTTGGCCCCTCCTGTCTTTTTTCCCTCCCTGTTGTCTTGTTCCTCTTGCCCCCGACAAGGTGCTGCTTCATTCAGGCTCAATCTGATGAAGACAAAAACCACTCTGAACCAGAAGCAAAATAACCCTTTTTTTCTTATACAGATGGCCTCAGGCACTTCATTACAGTGACAGAATGCTGGCCGGCATAGGCAGGTCCTCAGGAACTTGCTAGAGAACTTTCTTGAAATTCAGCATGGTCTTCTGGTGGGTTTGGGCCCAGCGGTAGTGCTGGGGTGAGCAAGCTGCACTCACGTTTTTCATCCGGAAGGACTCCTCCTCTAGCCGCTCCACAGCCAGGATGTTCTCGATGGGGATGCAGCAGAGGGGCTGGTCACCTGTAGAAAGGTGCCCCAGGCAGAGGTGCGTGAGCCTCTCCTTGCCATGAAAGAGGTCAGGAAGCTGAGGCCTCAGGCTAGAGAAGCCCTGGGTTCCAGAGCACTGGGCATCTAGCCAGCCCAAGGAGATGTGTTTTCAATCCATGATGAGCTCAGGAAGGTGACCTCCTCCCAATTCAGGGAAGCCACTCCCCAGTTGTCCACAGCTTGGCCCTTTTAGATTCAGGGAAAGCAGCCCAACATGCCACTGCCCCTAGCTCCACCACTGCCCCGCCACTGGCCCCAGGCTCTATGGCCGGGTTCTGCAGAGAGATGGCCACACTAACACAGACAAACAACCCTCAGGGCTGTGTGGAGCCGGAGGAAGAGCAAGACAGCACCTTGCTCCGGGCAGTTCTCCCTCCCTGCTTTGGTGTGCACTATAGCCCCCCGGAAGAGCAGCAGAAGGACAGAGGGGAGCCCCCTCTGGGACCACAGTGTGGGGGGCCAAGGAGGCCTTCCCACGCCCGTCTGTGCTGTGTCTGTGCAGAAGCCCACGCCGGCAGAGTGCTGCGCTCCTGGGGTCACACTGTCTCCAGGCCCTGCCTCCCCACTTGGTAGCACCCACCTACCCGGGCCTCCAAGGAAGACACATGGAACTCAGGGGATCCCTGCGATCACCTTTACTCTTCTGGTAGGTGAACTCATGGTTGGTCAGGCGAAACCACCTCTTCTTGAAATTCTTCATCCCAAATCGTTTCCTCCCTTGTGCTCTCTTAATCATGAAGCTACAGTAAAAGGCTCAAGTCAATAACTTCTGAGGATAATCCACTAATATTATAGACTGCTAGACAGTATTAGATGTTTAGTTGAATTCAAACACTTATAGTGTTTAGATGCCAATAGAATATCCACCTCTGACAGGACAAAAAAATAAATAAATAAATAAAAAATTTTTAAAAAGAAAAAAAAAATCATGAAGCTACAGGAAGGGCACAGGGCTGTTAGGGCATCCTGGGGCTTCAGGTGGGGGACCCTCATCCCTGCTTCAAAGCATGCAGCTCTGCTGCCCCAACCAGCAGCCCTGCACCCTCCTTTCCACCCCGTGGTCCCACCTTACCCTTCTTTAAGCAGAATGGGCTGCTCTATGCTCCTAGGGTCGCTTCTCCCCGAGGATGAAATTAAATCCAAAAACTGCAGTCAGGAGGAAATCAGACTATGAGTCAGGCACTGAAGGCTGCCTGCTCCAACAGTAGGGCAGATTATGCACATCTCCTGAGGACACCAGCAAATTTGGGGGCCTGTGTCTGTCTCCAGGGATGGGCCCACCCCAGCCCAGCCCTGCTGTGTCTCTTGCAACTTCTAGGACCTGCCGAGAAGCTACCGGGAGAGTCCCTATGGGGTTCAGGTTGGCCAGGGAGTGGGGCAGGGGAGGACCCAGAACTGTCATTCTCTAACACCCTGTCTACTTCCCATGACTTGCTTGGATACCTGCCATCAGCTGCAGGCTCTTGTGAGCGCCAGCCCTTCCTCCCATCATTGCTCAGTGCTGCCTTGCACAATAGGCGAGCAGCAGAACCACAAACCCAGAAGGCTCTCTTCCCAGATATGGTGCAGTGCCCCCAACCCTGGGACAAGAAACCCCAGAACAGCTGGTGAGGGGCCAACACCCTTGCAAAGGTCCTCATGACCCGTAGCCTTGCCTGGACTTGGGTGTGCCAGGTCCAGAGAGAGCAAGGCGATGTCTGCTGATACCACATACTCACATTCTTCACAGCATCAGCGTACTTTTGCTCATTGAAGAACTCATAGAACGTTGCCATGTACGACTCTTTAAAACTGGCCTACAATGAGATAGTCACCCGGTGGTCAGTCAGGACGCACAGCCAGCCTCGGACACCACCCAGGGAACAGCCACACACACTAAACAATGCTTAGATCATAGGCCTGCTTTGGGAAAAACAGGCCCAGGCCCTGGGAGTGAAAGGCCCCAGCAGACCTTCACGGGATCCCCGGCCCTCTAGCACCAGTGTCTGGTCTAGCAAGTGACATGATGGAGAGATGCAGTGTTGTCACCCAAAGGTGTCAGCGGCTCAGCCCTAGATCCATAACCTAAGCACAGCCTTCCTGGGCTCCTGCAGCTGGGTGCAGCAAAGCCACTTAAAACAAACACAGAAGAGACTCAGCCACTCCCCAAGGCCACTGAGAGAAGCTGGAGGGGCCCGCACTCCCAGCACGCCAAGCACTACACCCACCACGGACGAGTACCGTGCCTGTGCCCTCCAAAGCCAGCGGCCTTGCACTGGTGAGCGCAGTGTCTCAGTGCCATTAGAAGGTCAGCAGGAATGCTCTGCTGCTCAAGCTCCTGGCATGAGGCAGGGTTCTGCTTTTCATTTTGCTCTTTATTTTTACAACTGCATTGAACATACTCCCTTTTCTATGTGTGAGGCATCGCATGTAAGGTTTCTAGAGAGATAAGCAAAAATCAGAGTTCCTAAAAAGAGAATGTGAAAAGCACAGACTCACAGACTTGGACTTCGACAAGCTGCCCAGAGTCTGGATCGTCTTGGAGATGAGCGTCAGGGTTCTGGATGTCTGCAGGTCCTACCAGAGGGAAATGTGGGCTTTGTTCCAGTTATCAAAACGCGTGATCAGTTCCAGAAGCATGGAGGGCAGAATGAGCATGGCATCTAGAAGCTGCTAGATGTTCTACAGGCACCACATGCAGAAATCTGGCCCAGGAAGGTCCCACCCTTGGGCCGGGTCTCTCCCAAGTCTGCAGACCCAGCCTCAGGATGGTTCTCTGCTGTCTCCACAGACAAGCCATTTCCGAGGGCTTTGCCCTCAGCAGTCCCCTCCCGCCTGTCTCCCTTCACACCTGTCTGTGATATGGCCTGTCACCAGCAGAAGGTCAGCCCCGTGAGGCTGCCTAGCCCTGGATGGGGCCTAACACAGTGTAGGGACTCCAAGGACGATAAATGAACATGTATGGGTCACAGGGGTGCCGCATTTTCATGGTGGTGTACAGTAATAGTGGCTGGACACCAAGGCCCTGGTCACTGCAGAGTGTTGCTTAAAGGCAGCCGTGCTCCATCCAGCAATGTGTGCTGGCACACTGAGAGGCTAGCCCACCTGCATGAAGCTCCAGATGGCCAGAGGGTCACCCCCACTTTTCTCTACCTTCTACTTGCTCTGTAGAGACCTGGCTGGGCTGGCATGCTGGCAGGTCTAGAAGGCTGACTAGTAAGGCCTCACTGGGTTACAGGCTGGCTGGCTAAGCGCAACTGACTAACTCACAGGCCTAGCAGGTCTATCAGGACTGACTGGGTTAGGAAGCCTGACCAGCTTGCAAGGAATGGCTCGTTGGAGACTGCCTGGCTCACGGGGCCAGCGAGCAGAGGACCAGTAGTTGCACAGGACTGCCTGGTGCAGGGTCTGGGTATGTGGCCTGCTGCTTACCGTGTGGTGTGGCGTCAGCTGGAAGAGGCTGGGAGACAGGATGGCAGGTGCAAAGAACCGCAGGAAGATGAAGCTGCTCACAGCCGTGTACCTGACATCCAGGTCATCTGAGAGCAGAGGACAGCACTTGCACGTGATGCAGCCCAGCAGCCAGGGGCTCTGTAACTTCAGCGAGCTCCTGCCAGGCTTTGTGGAAAAGCCAGACCCAAGCTCTGCCTGTAGCTGTCCCTGTGTCTCTCCCTATTTCTGTCTTCGCTTCTGTTTCTTTTGTCTCTGTCACTCTAGCTGGCTGGCTGTTTGTCTCCATAGCTATCTGTGTGACTCTGTCTCTGTCTCTGTCTCTGTCTCTGACTGCTGTCACCATGGGGTTCCCTGTGTAAGGGTCACAGCCTCAGCCCCAGGCCCTTCTATTGGGCAGTTTGTTCTCATCTAGGGTGAGAGAGTAGTGTTACTATTTGTTTCCCTTCAGTTTGTTCTTGGGCGTTGCCTCCTGAAACCCTCTGTTCTGGGGGCTCTGCAGGGGTCTGTCCATGAGTAAGTGGGGGTTTGGGGTTTGAGGGAATCCACAGATGGAGATCAAGGGGGCTCTGGGTGCTCTCCTTTCACAGTGCTCAAAGCTCCAGGCAGGGTGAGGGACTGCCCCCGAGGGCCTCCTCCTGAGGTCATGAAGGAGCTCAGTGGCCCTGAGATTACTGCCAGGGAGCACAGGAGGGCACTGTCAGAGGTACCCACTCCTAGAATGGGGATGCTCTGGGCACCTACTGGGGTAGCTAGGCATGGGGGTGCTCACCCTGGAAGCGCTTGGCAGCTGCCTCCCGCAATGAGAAGAAAATGTCGCACATGACAGTGGGGCAGCTGACCCCGGATTTAGTGATGATGGTGAAGATGCGGTCCACATACTGCCGAAGGTTCTCCTGGGATGGGACACGCATTGGGACCTGACCTCCCTGGGGTGAGGAGTGTCAGGGCCTGCCAAGAGGGTCAGGCCGAGAGCAGACGCTCACAAAGATGGACCTCATGACAATGCAGGATGTCCTCCCTTTAAGAGACCCACAGTGCACACACCACCAGAGCCCAGGAAACCCTGCAGTCCTCTCCTTGCTAACATCCCTGAGCATGGACTGAAATCGACTTCAGTACACTCGAGGCAGAGGGCTGCGCTTCTGCCAAAAGGCATGAGCGGCATGCCTCACCTGCAGGTAGGAGTCGGGGGATGTGAGCAACACCACGGGGCATACTAACCTCCCTCCTGAAAAATGACACAGCCCCTGTACCCCATTTGCTTTGTGGGAGCAGGACTCACAACTCATTCTAGCCCTCATGTGGAGCACTGGTAGGAGGGCTGGGCCAGGGAGGGTCCCCTTATAGCTGTCCCCACCACCAGGACCTGGGGACAGCACCCATCCAGCAGCCCATGTTGGAGCACAGCAGGCTCTTACCATGTTGTTCTCGAGGTTCTCACCATCTTTCAGCTTCACGGGGTCAATCTCACAGGGCCGGTGGCTCTGGCATATCTAGAGGGTGGACAGGGTCTGCATGCGGTGCACTGTGGCCCTGCCGCTGGTCCCCACGGCACAGGCTGCTGGGAGGATGGAGCCAGGAAGCCTGGATGCTGGCCTGGGAAGGCACAGCTCTCCTCACCGCAAGCAGGACTTGCTGAGACCGACCTGCGTGGGTCTGGCACAGCCAAGCCTAATGAAGCCGTAAGAACCGGCAGTCATTCTATCCCTGAGCTAAACCTTGGCCCTTTGTGTTTCATGATCTTTTATTCTGAGCCAGGCTTGCTAGCTGCCCAGCCTGGTCCCGACCTCCTGCCCATTCAGCTTTTTTAATATTTTTACTTCAAAGTTTGCCCACAGAGCAGGATGCCATTTTCAATTTGCAAAGAGCCTGCTTTTCACAAAACTCTTCTCCGGACGTGGCCTGACCAAGGAGCCAATGAGAGTCTTTGGGACTCTCATTGTGTGGCAAGGACACAGCAAATGGTCAGGGCCCTGGACAGGACAGCCACAGCACCCAGCCACACAGGGCCCGGTGAAGAACCTGATTTTTCTTGCATGCTCTTCTCTCTTCAGTAGCTTGATGGGTTTTCTCATTTTTTGATTTGAGGAAGTAAGGCAACTTTTGGGACACACATGGCACCTTCTCTCATGGCAGCCAATCACACAAGGGCCCTGGGTATGGGCAGCTGGGTGCCACCCTGTCTTTGATAGCGACACCAGTGGCAGGGACGCTTGGCAGCACTCACTTCCTCAATGACGGGCTTCAGGGTGACCTGCAGGTAGTGCATGCCCGCCAACTTCATTGTCTCATCGATGCACTTCGAGGCCAGCGAGTTCCCTCGGAAGATGGTGTTGGGGTCCCTAGAAAACAGGCCAGCATGGCAGCCATCCCCTCCATGCCCATGAGGAAAGAGCGTGTCCCTGAGTGCCTGGGTGTGGCTCCCAGCACTGACAGGTAGGCTGCACAGGGAGCCCTGGGTCACCCGGAGCCACTAAATGTCTCCCGTGAAGGGTCTTCACAGCCCAGGCAGCTGTAAGGCCAGAGCGGAAGTGGCACACAACATCCACCTTGCTACTGACCTCACTCTGTGCACACAGGCAGCCTTAGCAGCCTTGTGTCCTGGGGTGGCCGTGCTCCACCCTGGGCCCCTGACTCCACGAGGCACCTGGACTCCCCAGTTCACACTCCTGGGGCTGCCAGAAGCTCAGTGGCTAGCAGAGCACCAGTCACCCTTTGTGGTGGGACATGAAGGTCACTCCTCTTTCCCAGACACCCTGTGGGGAGGTAGCTTTAGAGCTGGGCCCTCTAGGACCTGGGCCCACCCTGACTGCAGATTGGAGAGAGGTGGACAGAGGGAGGCTCAGTGGGACTGGGGACAGGATGGGGCACTCACTGGGTCCTCTTCACCTCGGCGCTGGCGATGGCGCTGATGAAGGGCACCACACAGCCATAGTGCAGCAGGAGCCGCACCAGGGGCACAGCTGCCTCCTGCTTCTCTCTGCACACCTCGCCCAGGATGTGGGCAGCTGATGCTGAGACCGGCTGGGCAGGGGGAGAGTGGATCAGGGGGGACAACCACACTTACACATCCAGCACTTCCCACCCTCTTGGTGGGCCCACACAAGTGGATGCTATGGGGCTGCTAGGCAGAGGGGCTGCGGCTACCTCCAGCCCATAGCAGGGGCCCCTGAGCAGACTCAACCCACCATCCAACAGCAAATCTGAGCAGTAACTGAGCCTGTGTCAGGGCAGTCAGAAGAGACATCACCAGTGTCACCAACCAGGGGGAGGAAGCCCAGCAGCAGAGCGGGTGAGGATGGGCGGGCCTGGCAGGGGGCCAGGTGAGTCAGCAGGAGAACTGATGGGTCTGGCAAGTAGGTGCAACCCCTGAGTAGCAGGGGCCTAGACAGAGGCCAGGTGAGTGGGCAGAGCCATGGCTGGGCAGGCGAGGCCAAGCAGATGAGCAGGGCCTGGACAGGGTTGGTGGGTGGGCAGGCCAGCAGCTGCTCAGTGAACGGTGGAGGGTTCCAGGGAGGAGAGGGCTGGGATCTAGACACAGGGCCCAGCAGGGTGAGCATGATTCCCACACACACCTCCACATCTGCGGACTTCAGGAGCAGGTCCCGAAGAGGGCTGTAGTAGTCAGAAGAAAACACATGGTCTTCTGTGTAAACCACATTCAGCCGCAGCGAGCCTAGGTCATCAGGCTTTGGGCTCTTGCCATTGTCTCGGGGCTGGAGGAAGTACCTAAGGGGATAGCCACAGTGAGGCCACCACCATCTCTCCACTCTCCCAGATCCTGGGGCTGGAGAGCTATGGACGCAGGGCTCCCTGCAGGCCATGTGATTGTGGCCATCCGAGGGTACAGCTGCCTGGGGTGGGTGCAGGGCCACACTTGAAGGCTATGGGGCTCTAGACAGCAGAGAAGCAGAGAAGAGAGGAGATGGGGAAGCCTGCTAGGAGGAAGGAAGCAGTGGCCAGCAGGGCCCCATGGTGGCATCTGCCTGTGAGGATGGACACTGGACAGCAAGAACATGGGAGCCACTGTGACAGTGTCATGCAGCCTTTATAAAGGGGCAAGCTGGCTTGCGCTGGCGCCGGGATCACTCTGTAGTCCTCAGCAGGGCACTCCCCCTATTCATCCATGCTACAAATCCCTCCCTGCCCTATCTCCTGGGCTGGGCAGCTTGAGATCAGTCCCCATGTCCAAAGCACATGGCCATTTCAGTCTCCGGTTGGTTTTGGTGGTTGCCTCTGCCGAGGGGCTGGGTGTACTCAGTGGGAATGGGAGGTGAGTCCGGTGCCGGGCCATCCTCCACCGTAGCAGAGAAAGCAGATTCCAGGGCAGATTCGCCCTCGGCACAGAGTGAGACAATGCACCTGGTGTCAATTGGACACCTGCTGGCACATGTCTGTCTCAAAGCACGTGGACAAACACAACAAGCCAGTGGTGCAGTCCCACATGCAAACATAGCTCCTCTGGAGGTCAGCAATGACAAAGGCACCAGGCAGTGGAGGGCCAAATGGAGGCAGCTTGGAGGGATGGTGAGGCTGAGACCACAGCTAGAGAGGTGGCCATGAGGCTTCCCTGGCCACACATCCTGCAGCAAAAGTCCACAGCTGGCCTCAGAGCTAGGCCTGTGCTGTCCCCTGCCTTAGGCTATGAGGTACCTCCTGCTTCAGTGTGCACAGTGTCACCTCTCATCCCCTTCCTGATGAAAAGTCAGAAACTATTTCCATGCCTACGCAACTGGCAGCAGGTGCACTGGCCTTGGGTGGCGTGGTCCCTTCCCCCAGCCTTCTGCCCAAGCTGCTCCCCACTCCTAGGTACCTACCATGCCTCGTAGCAGCTGGACTGCTGCAGTACCTTCAGTGGGATCCTCAATTCCCCTAAGAACTCATCACCAAACTTCAGATTGCTGGCGTTCCAGAGGTCGACTCTGAAAACAAACAGCACTCAGTTCCTGCCCAGTGGGCACCTGCTTCCAGGAAGGTTGGAGCCCAGCTGCCCATCAGTGTCAGCTGCGGTGATCCACAATGCCTACAGCCATGCTGGGGCAGACACCTGGAATCCTGTGTGGAAGGATGAACAGAGCAGCAGGTGCAGGATGCAGCCCTCACTGGCAGCACAGGCAACCATGGGGATCACTGCAAGTGACAGAGCCAGACTACTGCAGCCAGTCTCTGGCATCTACCTTTACCCTCATTGACAGGTGAGAGTCCAGGATGCCCAGGGCCTCACAGTGAGCCTGGGTTCTGCCCCAGCACTAGCCAGGCAGCTTTCATCTGCTCTGCAAAGCAGGTGAGGGCAGCAACTTGTGGGCCAAGCAGCTGGTACAGGACAGTGCCTGGCCTGGCAGGGACAAGGGCACCTACCCTCATCCAGAAGAGTCAGGGTACTGGCAAGCCCCTCCCTGAACTGCACTTCTGCCTCTTCAGACTGAATACAACCTGAAGGAGGCAGGAGCAGGAGCCTGGGTGGGGTCCCTGGGAGCCACAGACCACAGCAGGGCTCTCCGTGAGGCACATGCTAGTGCTTGTGAAGCTTCCTGGCACGGCGGGTGATGCCCTGGCCCTCCTTTCCTGCAGAATGCCCAGTTCCCTGGGACTTGGGTGGCAGGATTTTGTCAGGTAGCTGGGTGGATGGAGGGGTTCGCCTGTGCTGAGGAGCCACTGGGCTGAGGTACATGATGCACCTCATGAGAGTCCCACCAGACGTGGCTCTTGGGGTGCCACTGCGGGAAGGAACCTTGCCCTTGCCAGGCCCCAAACAAGGGGCAGACAAAAACCACCCATCAGAAAGCTTCTTACCTAATTTCAAGTTTATCCACATCTTCCTCCTCAAAGTCAAAGTGGGACTTTCTGCTGTAGCTGCAGGGCCTGGTCACCTGGGCAGATGGATGAAAGCTGCATGTGCTCATGGGACAGCCGCAGAGGGAAGCAGCCGTGGGCCAGTGGCTGCCTGGTGTGCTGACCCTGGCTTTGCTGGGCCCCACAGAACCACGGAAGGTCCTGGCAGGAGCTGACTCCACTGGGAGGAATATGAAGGGCGCTGCTTGGGGCCTGGGACACCGAGGGCTGACTTTGGACTCTGGGGGCTTCTGCCCACCCCAAAGCAGGGGGTGCCCCAGGGCCTGGGAGGCTGGCAGCTCCTGGACTTCTGCTCATTTCCACCCACAGGAAGTTCCAAGGGTCCTGGAACCAGGTCCCCGCCCCACGGCCCCAACCCTCAAGACCCCCTTTGGGAGCCTGTGTCCAGGGAGGCATCAAAGAACTGAAAGGTCAAACACTGCTTTTCCTCCTAATATTTTAGGGGTTGTGAGCTTCTTAAAACAAAATGGCCAGCAGGGTCCAGGGGTCCCAGGGAGTGCTTCCCGGGGCTTATGCTGCCCCCTTCACAGGGTCAGGAGATTTCAGCTCCAAGTTGTAAACTTGGACAAAGCTGTGCTGCGTACAATGCTTCAGCTCTGAGCCCTAATTCTGAATGTCACACTGGTGGTGGTCACTAGAACCACGGGCTCCCTGCCTGGCCCTGGTCTGCAGAGCCCTGTGCCCCAGCTGCCTTTCCAGCCTGACCCCTGACACTAGGCTCCTCCCCATGTGGAACCGGCTAGTGTAACACCCAGCCACGCCTGCCTCATCCCCATGGTGCCTCCCTAGAAGCTGGCTCCTTCTTAATCTCCAGGTGTCCAAAATGCCACCTCCTGCAGCCTCCTGTTACAGCCTGTCTCCTGTGCAGGACCACACACCGCTGTCCCAGCTCACACACTCATCACCTGCCTCTCACTGGCCTGGCCAGCACCACAGCCCTTAGCTGCCTGCCCTTTCCCAGCCACGTTCAAGGGGTGAAGGTGGCTCCTACAGAAGGGGGTTTAGGTTATCCTGGCAGAAGGCGGCCTGGGAGTAACTTCCTCACTTTCTGCTCCCCCTGCCTGGGGCTTGCCTTCCCTGGAGCAGGAGACTCAAGAAGTGTCCAGGGGCACAGAAAGCCTCAGCAGTGGCCCTGGCCAGGCCTTCTGGGAGCCTTGCTGCCACTGAAGACCATGGTTCCTGGACTTTGCTGGGGGTCGTTGACTTACTGAGCAGGGGGACCCACCACCTCCCAGGACAATAGTACTCTTGTCTCTAAGGCTGGGTCCGCCACTGCCCTATGAAAGTGTAGGCGGAGTCGCAACCAAGGCCCTGCCCGACTGCCAGACCTTGGTGCATAAGAAGCACTGGGGGAGCTGAGGCCAGGAGTAACACCCACCTGGGTACCCCACCCAGACCTACACCAACTCTGCCCCAAGAGGTGCTGGCCCTTGAGCTGCTGCCTGACCTTTCTGTGTGTTCCGGAGGCAGCCAGGGAGTCTCTGGGCTGCACCACTTCTCCTTTACTGAAACCCTCATGTTTCTGCTGGAGCAAGCCTACATCTGCCCAGGGAAGCTGGGGTGGAGCAGCCAGAAAAATGAAAACCCACAACCAGTGAGCCCAGAGCCCTGAAGACCTGGGCGGCATTAACTTGCCACTGTCACCTACAAGCCAGGCAGCCCAGGGAGCAGTAGCGCCTTCTGTCCCAGGAGGAAGAGGGCCCTGGGTGACTGCATGCAGATGGCGTATGGGCCTAGCCCTCTCCCAGAAGGACAAGGACTGCTCAGCCCCTTCCTGCTCCATCTTTGGTGCATTTCCTGGCTTCCCCACTGGAGCACCAACCTCGAAGTAAAACACCTCGTCAAACTGGGGATTGTTGGTCTTCTTCTTCACTTTTGTTTTTTTGGCTTCTGATCTGCAGTCGAACAAGGAGGAGTTAGGTTTAAAAGTAACACGGTTGATTCTGAACCCACCTTAAAATTGAGCTGGCAAACATTACAGCCTTTATCTCATAAACACTTCTGTTTGCCTCCACCTCCAGATGGTATGCAAATCAGGAATCACTACAGAGCCAGAAATACCCAGTACGGAGATCACAGAGGCCTTATTCTTGGTAAAGCAATTCCAAATCAATCAAGGAAACCAAAGGAGTCAAAAATGACACATTCCACTATAGCAAGCACTTCCTTCATCCTCCTGCAGGGGGCACCAGCCGCCTGCCTTTTGGGGTTCCCATGCCCTGGACCAGAGTGGCGCGTGGGGTGGACAGGACTGGGACAACTTGCCTGAAGGGTCCTGCCAGCGTCACCGTGGCATAGGGGTCGCACTGGCCGTTCACTATGGGGAGGCCTTGGCACTCGAGGATGCTGAGGAGACAGGACAAGTCAGGAAGAGCCAGGCAGCCCTGGTTCCCCCTTGCTGGCCTGCAGACCAGAAAGGACGAGTCACAGCCGGTGTTTCTGGGGCGGGACGCCTGGTAGGGGTCTGTGTTGCCAAGAACCAATCGCCATAGAGGGCACACTGCCCATGGAAGCCGCCACCCCACCCCCTGGGCTGTGTAGGCACACAGCTACCCAGGGGTGGCAGCAGAGGCCCTGCCCCTCACTTAGTCGCTGAGTCCCATCTGCAGAAGGGGACGGATGGTGACAACTCCCGGGCATCCTGAAATTCTGCAAGGCCCACCTCGCAGATTCATTGCCTCTCTGTTACTCCTGGTCTGTTTCCAGCTCCTCCCCTGGTCATGGCTCGTATTTCCTGCTTCCTGGGGGTCAAGCAGATGCCAGACATGGTGAATTTTATGTGCAGGATCCAGTTTTCTGCTGGGCTCTGGACACAGTGCCTGGGACTGTTCAGGTCCTTCCCACTCAGGTGACCACATCATTTCCATTTCAAGCTTCTTTGAGAACACTCTTCCTGCTCTAAGGATGGTGTGGCCCTCACACAGTGCTCTGTCTCCTGCTGCCTGCCTATCCCCAACACCCTGAGTGACAACAGGCCCTTTCCTGGTTGGAGGAGATTCAAAGGCACCAGTCCCCTGTGAGTGTCATGGAGCCTGTTGGCCTCCACACTGCAGACCTGAGCACCAGGCCCTGCTCAGAGGTGTCAGTACTAAGCTCTGTCCTGTCTCAGAGGGAACATAGGCCAAAACTCAGCATCCTACATCGTAAACAGCTTACACAACAATCCTGGTGGTTTGCTTGTGGTCAGAGAAAATTCATGCACATACCAAGATGTCACACTTAGAGGACAGGCTCACTGGGCTCAAAGGGTTGGTACCAGGCAAGGCAGGTGACCTGTCTAGAACCACAGGAGGCCTGTGCCTGGCCTGTGACCTCAGGAGGGGTTGGGGACCCCCAGTGCAGCCCCTAACCCAAGGCAGAGCCCTCCCTGGCACACAAGGAGGGGCATGTTTGTCTGCACAGTAGAAACAGAGACCAAGAGTGGCTGATATGGGGACACTGACCCTGCAGGACTCGCCAGGACGGTGGCTGCATCCTAATACCTCACCACACACACATGCACAAGTGCACGCACATATGGAGCTGCACCCATGGCAGGCTGGGGCTGACCAGCTCCTTCCTCATGGAAACCTGGGGCCCTAGGCTGAGGGACTCGACCTTCTCGTAGCTGTCCACAAAGTGCTAACCCATCACAGGTGACAAGGGACACCAGTTACACCAGAGACAGAGTCTAGGACCAGGGCTTGCTCCTTCTGCACTGTGGGGTCCAGAGCCTTCTTGCTGCCCGTGAATGCCTTCTCTAAACCTTAGGGAATAAAGCCATGAGAGTAGTGGTGGTGATGTTGTCTTGGGAGCCATGGGGCAGAGCTCACGTTCTTGCGGTTGGGAGCCAGATGGGTGGTACAGGAAGGGTACCTTGCCCATAACTGCAGGACTAGCAGCCATCAGGGCCCTGGGAGAAGCTGCAGGTCTGATAAGCCATGGGGCTCCCAAGTCTGGTGCTGGCCTTCCTGAGGTTGGCCAGACCCCACATGCCCATGACCTCTGGCGCTTCCTCCATGCATCTCCACATCTGCCTGGGAGCCTTCACCCTGGACCCCAGAATCCGCGGTACAGGTGGCACAGGGCCAGCCCCGCACGTTCCCAGGGCCCTATATGCAGCCGCCCTCTCCTGGGTGCGCTCTTGCTGTCCAAGGAAACAGCCATGTGCCTGTGGTGCTCAGGCAACAGCCACAGATGCACCGCATGTAGATGCTCTCATCCACAGCTGGTGTCCACAGAGCAGTAGCTCTCACTCTTGTTTCTCAGAAGGAGAAACTGAGGCAAGGAAACAAGTCACTGGCTTCTGTGCCATGTTCACTCTTTTCTTTCCTTTGTACTGAGCAAACAAAGGCCTAGAGAGCACAAAAAGCTCAGGTGACCTGGGAGCCATGGTCACCGCCTTCTGGGCTACGGCCAGGCTTCACCATTTCCTCTCCAGAAAGATCCCAGACTGCAAGAAGCCCCCTCCCTGCCTCAGCCACTCCAGGGCTGGGAGCAAGCTCACTTGAAGAACACTCCCCCTGGGTAAGGCTGTTGAGGGCTCCCCGACTGCAGGTCCCTCAGTGTTAGCAGTGCTGCAGAGCAGCGCCAGGTGGGGAGACACACGCCCTACGGACACAGGCAGGTGACTCACAACCTCAGCCTGAGTTCCCAGGGAGCATCTTGCTCAGAGAGACCCCAGGGGTGATGGATCAGAGGGAAGGGGGGGTGGCCTGGCCCCGTCTTGGCCTTGACCTCCACCCAGCACAGCCCCAACTTCCAGCCTGCTCAGGAGACCTCAGCCTTGCCTGGTTACACTCACACCTATGCCCAAGAAAACCACCTCTGCCCACACCCAGGTCTGGGGCCTGGGTGCTGCAAGCCCAGCCTTGGAGGCTTTCAAGACTATAAATACATGCATCTCACAGCACCTGGGTTATAGCAGGGAGCTCAGCTCAGCCAAGAACTTGTATGGGCCCACAGGGCCTCACGGCAGATGGTCATTTCTCCCTGCCCTGTGCATATCCACAGCCCCAGCAGTCCCAGGAGCACACAGCACCACACCGAGTGGTCTTAACCAGGGGCCATGGAGTACAAGGGCCATTATGAGAGTGGAGGAGCCTGCTTATCTACTGCCCACCTCAGAGGAGCAGAGTGCGAAACCCCGACAATGAACCCAGCTCTGTGTGAATTCTACTCAGGGGAGTCGCTGCCCAACCACGCTAGCACACTGCTTTAAGGGTGCCTTTGGGAGAGAGAAGCCCCATCTCTGCTCACTAAGGGTGGCAGGATGGTCCCTCTGGGACCTTGAATGTGTGTCCAATAGCAGTTGGCCCAGACACAACCTCCAAAGCCAAGTGTTGGTGTCACTGGTGGCCCAGGAGGTAATAGGGTACCTGAGGTCATGAGGTGGGGCCAGATGCCCTGCTGGCTTTGTGAGCAGAGGAAGAGACTTGAGCTCCCACCACTGTCCCAAGGGGAGTCCCTCGCCTTTGTGGGATAAATATGAAGCCCTCATCAGCAACTGGAGGCAAACCAGTTGCTCTCTGCACATCCCCTGGCTGGGGCACTTTGTTACAGCAACAAGAACAGGCTGCAATGGCTCCAGCACCAGGACTTATGCCTGCACTCCTGGCAAGAAAGATGCCCAGCAGGGGCCAGGGAGATGGCTCAGTGGAATAAGCGCTTCCCTGGCAAGTGCAAGGGTCTGAGTTCAATCCCCGGTTCCGCCTAAAAAAAAAAAAAAAGAAAGAAAGAAAGACGCCCAGCAGCCCTCCTACCTGAGCCATGTCCGGTTGTCCCCACCTGGGCCCACTGTGCAGGGGAGAAGCCAGTGAGATCTAGGGGCAGTGAGTGCAGGGGTGTCGTGCCTACTCCTCTAGGCACCCAAGACAGAAGCCAGGGCCTGTGGAACAGGAGAAGCATCCCCAGACCCCAGCCCTGACCTGCTGCTTGTGGTGCACATCTTACCGTGTGGCGAGCTTGTGGCAGACAGCACCTGTGTCAGTGATGACTTCGCTCAGCCTCAGTTCCAGGTGCACCTTGCCCTGCAAAGGACAAGGGAGGGTCAGGGTGGGGCACAGTCAAAGTGACGGCTATGGCCCATAAGAGGGCAGTGCTGGGATGGAGGGGGAGGGCCGTCCAGTCCCTGGGACAGCCGTACTTCCAGCCCACTGTGATATACACCCTGAGGTTGGCTGCTAAGGGGAGGTCACTGCAGGCCACGCAATTTCAGAATGAGCAGTCCCAAAGTGCTAGACCCTGACACTCATTACACACCGCAGTTGGGTCAGCCCAGGGCAGGCATGGGAAGAGGAAAGGCTCCAGGGATCTTCCTAGTCTGCCTCTGCTTTCTCCAGGAAGGAGAGGACACTGAACCCTGGTCCCACAGAAAATAACACCCTCGGTGCTTCCAAGAGCAAGACCCTGCTCTGGGTAGGGTCACGAGGGAACACACAGTGTGATGTGAGCGTTAAAGTGGAAGTATTTAGAAACAGAAAGGGAGGCCAAGCTGGACACCCACAGAGGGCACTGACCCTCCAGTAGGGAGGGACCCTTCATATGCTGCCTGGTTTTGAGTCCAGGATGCCATGTGACCAGACAGCATTGGTCAAGCTGGTGGCAGCATGGGGACAAACCTGTGCCCGAGTGGATCCATCTGGGGACCTGTCTACCTGTACTTGCCTGGACCTGCTGGGAGGAGTGGTGGCCATGGTGGGCAGAGGTGGCAGGGACTGTGCTCACTTCTCCCAGACTCAGCCAAGGCTGGACTTGCCCTCCTGAGTCTTGCTCACGTGAGCAAAGACAGGAGCAATAGACAGCAGGGTGCCTAGTGCTGGGATACGAGCATTAGTCAGGGGTCCATGTCAGGCCACGCCGCTTGCTCTACCTGTGAACGGTGGCCACACAGGGAGATGACTAGACCTGGCACATTCTGAGCTTTGCAGGCTTCTTGGCTCTGCTCAGGGAGCACCTGACTGCTTCATTCCACTTGGCTCTCACGGATCCTGCTGGAGCCTCCAGCACCACCTGGGTAAGCACCTGGTGCCCAGTGACATACCCCATGTCCCCAGGCATGAACCATGGGCACAGAACAATAGTAAGTCCACTGTCAATTGCCCAGCAGACAAGGCCTCCCTGTTATTGTTCTGTTCCAGGTTCTCATGCTGGACCCAGCCTCTCCACCTAGAAAGCCTCAGGGACCAGTGATGGGTGGGGTCAGGAGGCTGGGAATAGTTCCTTATGGCCCTGTGGCTGAACTGGTGACAGCTAGGAGGACAGGCATCTGTGGTTCCATTTCTTTACCTGAACCTAGCAGCTCAGAGATTGGGATGACGGCCATAATGCCTATGGCCCTAAGAAGCAGTACGCTTCCTCAAGACAAGAGCCCTGCAGTACCAAACCAGGCCAACACACAGGACCAAGGGAGCAGTTTGCCATCAGAGGATAGGACCAACCACGAGCACCAACCCTTACTTGGTAATTCTTCGATCTGCAAGGGAGTCAGACAGAAGGGCCGAGAGTGGGGTTTTGTCCAGGGACCTTTAGAAGTCGGAGACTGTGTGTGCATCAGGGGGCCAAAGGCCCCAGAGCCAACGGTGCAGCGGCAACTTCCTTATCATTTCCTGTTTTCCCCAAGCAGCTCTTGGATTCCTGTGCCTTTCTCACACACCATGGGATGGAGGCTTGGGGACCAAACAGCTACACTACACTGCCCTGCAGACCCATGGGAAGTGTAGCACTTCCAGTGTCCCACCAGCACCAAGGCCCTCTTCCTGCATGAGGTGGAGGTTGGGGCACTGCCTCTCACAGGCAGGTGACCTGACCTCGTCACAAACAACCCAGAACAGAAACATGGCCCTCAGGGTCACACCCTCGGTTTCAGGCTGGCAGAAGGCATTGTGTTCTGGCACACACCTGGGCATGTGGCTTCTCGGCGGGGAAAGGCACCTCCCTGCACAGACAGAAGCCTGGCTCTGGTCTCTGCCGGGGCTTGCTTGGGGCAGGACCTGCAAGGACCCCGTGTGTCTGGCCTGCTTGCCCATGCTCACCTCTGGCTGCAAAGCCTGCCTGTCCATGGCACCACCCAGTGTCCCAGGTTTTATTTTGGTTGTGAGAAAAGCAGTGGGGACTGAGAAGAAAGTGCTATTGGCAGCTTCTCCTTCCTAGTTCATCAAGGGACTAGAGGAACCAAGAAGCTAACGTGGGCTGGGCCATGGCTCCGAGGTGAGCGCTCCCCGACAAGGCTCTGGTCTCACCCTAGCTCCAGAAAAAGAAAGTGTAAGAAGCAACAGGGCAATGGGCAGCCTCATGAAGCAAGCGGGGCTTGAGCTTACTGGACTGCACTCTTCCTGCCAGGCAGCTATGGAAGAAGAAGCCTCCATCTCCTCTCTCAGACCACATAGGGACTGAGCCTAGGGAGGAAAGGGAAGGAAGCTGAGAGTCCCCAAGTGCCTGCAGATTGAGCACTGCACTTCTAAATATCACCTGGGCCAAAGCAGTCTTCAGAGGCACTGGTATAGCTGGGCTAGGTGTGCTCCAGGAGCAGTCACAAGTGGGGCTTTCGCAAAGGCGGTGGAATCTACAGTATGTGACTGATCCTTGGTGCAGTGCTAGGATTAAGGGTGCTGGGATGAAGGGTGGGTGATTACTACATCAGTCCACTGATTGGGTTGGCGCTGCCCTAACCCTAGGAGCCTCGATACAGTATAAGGGACAGAAAGAGGCTTGTCTTCCGCTCGTCTGCTTTACTACCTTCTGCCCACCGTGAAGTGTTCTCCTCTGCCAAGCCACCCTGCCTTGGAGCCAGTTGCTTCTGGACTGAAACCTCTACAAACTGCGAGCTAACTAAACCTTTTCTCCCTTCACCTGTGGGTATGAGGTATTTTGTCTCAGCAACAAGAAAAGTAACCAAGATAGACACTTAGACGTAGAGTAAAACAAAAGAAAATGAAAATATAACTTAGAATTTGTGGGATGCAGCAAAAATATGACTGAGACAGAAACCTAGAACCTGCCAAATACACAGACAGAGAAATCCAGGATCAATGACTTCCACCAGGAAGAGGAGGCTAAATTCACAGGAAGCAAAAGAGAAGAAATAAAACTTAGATCAGAAATTAATGAAACTAAAAACAGTAAATCAAAGAACCATCAGGCCCAAAATCAGATGCTCTGACCAGATCAACAAAGAAATAAACCTCAAGCCAGGGTTACCAGGAACAAAAGAGAAGGTGTGGCTTCCTAAGACCAGCAGTGAGGGGTGCTAACAGGATTGAGGGTTTTGGTGACTGCTGTGTACCAGCTCCAGGCCACACAGGGGCTGGCCAGGGCTGGGACGAGGCCTCTGGGCCTATTCAGCTTTCCTGTACACTTTAAACTGCCCGGAAACCAGAGTTTGTCAGTTTACAAGAAGCTCCTTATTTTCTCAGGAAGATCCTCCCGGAAAGGGCCACTCTGAGAAGTAAGAACAATTGTGGCCTGGTCCCAGAATGTGGGGTCCGTATGGGAGCCTGTGACAGTGAGTAACACCTGCTGACCTGTCTCCATCTGAGTGGCCACTGGTTCTTGAAGTGAGAAGATGAAGCAAAGAGCAAGATGAAGATCAGGAAGGTGGATGGAGCTTGGCCTTCTGTGCCCCCTCAAGTCCTCAGAACGACCCAAAGGCCAAGCCTGTCCTAGGGATGCCTTCCAGTGTCCTTCTAGGTTGTCTGATTCACAAAAGACAAAATCCCCCCAATTCCACACCATCAGTGGCTATTGAGCAGATCACCTTGAGGGTGGTGGCTGCTGATGCTGTGTGTGTCTCTGGCCAGTTTATAAACATGGAATGTCCTGGAGAGGAAGACAGGGGCACTCTGGGCACCTTTAGAAGAGACACCAGTTCCAGAAGCAGCAGGCCATCATAGGCTGCCTCTCCCTGTTCCTGTGATGCTAGCCAGAGTGTGACGGTCTTTTTGAGTATGGGTCTCCTCCTGCCATAAGGAGCAGAAGGACCCAGGGAGCCACAGACGCACTCCACCCAGCAGGAAACTTTGAATGCGACATTTCAAAATGAGAGATGACTGCAGAGCAAAGATATCATTGCAACTTAAAGGTCAGAGTGAGAGAGGCAAGACGCTGCCTCCTTGTCCCAGTTACTCTGTGGGTAAGAAGCTTCCAGAATGAAACAACAGAGAAGTACTAAGCACGGCACAGAGGGTCCTCTGCCTCTCACCACCCAGGCTCCCAGGAGCCCAGCAGGGCTGGGGCCCAGTCTTCATCACAGACTCGCCAGAGCGCTGTATGGAATATAACTCAGCCCAGGAGAGAAGGGAAACCTGCCCCAGGTCACAGCCTGATGAGTGGACAGACACCAGTTCACACAGCAAGGACTGTTGCAGGTCACTCGTGTGAGGCTCCAGGGCACCCATGTTTACCAGTTGGAGTGGCAGGTGCTGGGCACCAGTCTGTTGGAGGGAAGTGGCCAATTATGGTGAGAGACAGTGATGATGGATGAACAGCCATGTGAGTGTGCTCGTGCTGCAGAACCAGACTTAGAAATGCTTAAAACTGGTGATTTGATAGTGTGCTTCACCACACAATAAAAGAACTGGGGAAAAAATTATACAGAACCCACACCTATAGAAAGCAGAGAGATTAGAACAAAGTCTACACACTGTGAACTCAGAGTCATAAGGTGGAGCCCTGGGGATGGGCCCTCTGATGTCCGTTCTTCTGAAAATACACAAATTGGTTGGTCACGAATCCCTGTCCAACCTCCCACAGATCTGTAACCATTTCAAAACTAAACAGGCAAAAAAGGAAAAGACACACTTGTCAGTAAAGCCAAGCAAATCTGGGAAATGCCACCAAGAAGCAGTCCTGCTGATGTCTGCTGCTGTGCACAGCACAGGTCTCATTCCGGTGCCACAGCTGCAGGCGTGGGCGAGGCTGAGAAGAGGGCACTGCATGCTGTAGCCCGGCGTAGAAGAACGCTGAGGCTCTCAGTCCCAAGCCAAGCACAGGCAGGTGGCTGTTCTGCACTAGCATCTCTGTGGGTCTGCACTCGCACCAGGGTACCGTTGGTTCTCCAGTCACTGTGGCCGCTGATAACCCGCAACATGTAGGCTAAAGGCCCGTGTTTTTCTGGGAGGCAGAGCTCATAGGGGAAGCAAGAGTCTCTGTGTGAGGCGCAGGAACCCAGGCCACCTCGGCTCGGCTCAGCTCAGCCCTTGACTCTGCCTGGGCCTCCCCATGCCATGAATGGGTTCTGCCAACTCCAGGGACAGAACCCAGGGCCGTGAGGGTCTCAGCAGCCTGGGACCTCAGCAGTGACCATGAGCCCTGGCCTTCACCGGGGGAAGCCTGCTGAGCAAGAGGGTCTTGAAGACGAGGCAGGCAGGACACAGGTGATGTGGGGCATGGAACTGCTCTCCTCGACACCTTGGGCAAGTCCTCACAGGAACCTACTTAGGGGGTCTGTCTGTGACACTATCCTGCACGCCTCAGTGGTACACACGTAGGCCCAGCCTACAGAGAGCCCATCTTACCAAGGAGACAGCTCGCAGGGACATCCAGGTGGCAGTCTGGGTACCAGACCCGAGCTAGAACAGCTGGGGACAGCTTCTGCCCTGCACTGTGTTGGCAGGGTGGCACCTCAGTGTGAATGCCTGCATGTGCTCGATACTTGGCTGGCTAGGGGCTCTGCAGCCGCTCCCCATCCCGGGCCAGGACAGTATGTGCCCCTTGGGTGACCCTATGTACTCCCTTACAGGCAGCCTAAGGGCAACTCAGCTGACATGTTGTAATGTTGGTACACTGTGTCCACTTGAGAGGTTTAGAAATTTAACTAAGGAACTCAGCATCCTCCTCCTGCAGAGATGGTGTGAATGGTATACCCACCCCTGGGGGAGTAGGGGGTGGGGGGGTCCTGCATATCATGAAAGAGAAAAGAGGCTTGCTGTCCCCCTTTGCTCTTGCTGCTTTGCTGCCCTCTGCTGCCTTGAGGCTGCCACCCACCACCGCACCCCACTTTGGAGCCAGGAAGTATGGACTGAAACCTCCACAAACTTGAGCTAATAAACCTTTCTTCCCTTAACTTTGGGCATTGGGTATTTTGTCTCAGCAACTAGAGAAAAGTAACCAAGACACACGTACACCCCTGTAGCTGCTCCCCCAGGGGCCTGGTACCCAGTCCCACACCTGTCATCAGGCACCCAGCACTGTGGGTGTTGGGGTACTCGATCATGGGAGCCTGGGGGAGGATGGGAAGCTCAGAGGTCCTTGAGCCAGAAACCTGCTCTAGCTCTCCACAGCTGCCTGTCACCTAGTCTGCTCTTTACCTTTACCAAGCTCCCGCTCTACTCCTTTATCTGTGTTTAAACTTAAGTCTTCTAACTAGAAGTGTGGCAATAACCAAAGGGATAAAAAACTAAGAATCCCAGCACAATTTAGCAAGTGCATTTGCCAGTCATCGTGCCTGTGAGGCCCGAAGTCTGGGCTCCATCCGCACCCTGGGCTCGGCACCATCCCAGACTCACCTGCACCTCTGAGTCAGCATCCACATGCTGCAGCTGGAACCAGGTGTCCCTGTTGTGGTACTTCTGCAGGTCCTCCTTCCGGATGGCCACCTTCCCTGGAAACACATGCAGAGAAAACTCAGAGGACACTCAGCCTGTGGGGACAGGTGATGGACCCACAGGGACACCAGGCAAGGCCATAACCCACCCTGCAAGTTCACTACATGTAGCACACCATGTTCTGGGGCATCCCTCAGCCTTGCTCAGTGGTCTCTGAGGACCTGCTGACATGGAGACACTGCCTGCCCATGTGTCACCTCAGGTCTTCTTCAGTCAGGAATAGGACCAGGGACGGGATGGTGGTCATAGCCCCTGACTGCCTCTGTATCCTCCTCTCCAGACAGAGGCAGAAGAACTTCCTTTGTAGATATGCGAGGCTCCAGTAGGAATGTTTGTTGACAAAAGCTACAGTTGGAACACATGTGCACACATGCGTGTCATACACACATAGCATGTGTGCATGAATATGCATGTGTGTCTGGAGGACAGGGGCCTTGATGGCTCCTCTCAGCTTTGGGTTATTCACAATGACTGTAGCTAAGGGGTACAACATGGGCAATCTGCCTTTCTGTCACAAATGTGATTCTCACTTTCAGACCAAGGGAAAGCTCCTCATGGCCAGAGTATATCATTAGGACAGCCTGTCATGGCCAGGTGATACCTGGCAGGACAACCAGTCAGGAGACACCTGCAGTAATGGCTCATCACAGTCAGGGCACACCTATAAGACAACCTGTCCTAATCACAGCTAGGGGAAACCCAGCAAGGTGGCCCATCACAGCTAGGGACACTTGGGAGGACAGCCTGTCACAGCTAGAGAGTTTTCCCTCCATGTAGCAGTCAGGAGCACAGGGCTTGTGCAAGTCTCCTTCCTCCCTTCAGCACACTACTCCCGAGGGACACGCCTTGATTTCTCCACTGCTTGTTGCCGCATGCCCCTGGCCACTCTGAAGCCTGCTGAGAAGGTGCTCGCCCTCACACTCTGCCTCCTGAGAGCTGCTGTGGGCTCTTGCAAAACTCCAACTTTTGTCTCCAGTGGGACTCACAGGGATAAGGAAGTTTCTTAAGACTGAGCTGGGTGTCCTATCTGAAAAAGGGTAACGATATCTTCAGGCTGTTCAAGAACTCCAGCTGGAAGTCACTTTTGAAGCCTGAAATTCCGAGAACAGTCTTGTTTCTCATTCTGGCGAGCTGAGCCAGTCCTGCGCAACATCCTATTTAGTGCTCGTATGCACCCTGGAACTGTCACCACTACTGATCTCTTTCTAGAAATACTCCACTTAATTTTACAGCAGCAATAGAGAAACAGAACAAAATTCCAAACGTTTCAGAAGACATAAAACTGCCAAGAATGAGTCTCTCCCTGTGGCCCAGCCCCCAGCTTGGGGTCGCCTGTCACCCATGTCCAGGCTGCCAGATCTCGCCCCGGGCTGCCTTGGGGAGTGGATCTGTGCTCCCAAGGGTGGGGGCAGCGCAGGACCATCCCACATGCTCATCCCTTGACTGTCTCCTGCTTCTCTGCCATGTTGACACACAGCCAGGCCCCTGTCAGATGTGAACCGTACCAACCTCTCTACTCCAAGGCTGCAGCTTCATGTATTTTGTGACAAAACCCAGAACACACTGAAGCATCTGATACCCAAGTGTAGGGAGCAGCTAAAACTGAAGATCAATCACACGCATGAAGCAAGCCACCAAAAAAAAGCTGCTCCAGCTCCACAATGAGAGGTGCTTAGGCAAGCGAGCACTGTGCCAGGCAGAGAGGTTAAAACTGACCTCAGCCACCTTAGAATATAGATAAACTGGCTAGGGGTTGAGCAGCTCCTTTTCCTTTCAGCAGGAGGGAGTTCCACCTCGGCTTTCTGTGTTTTGTCTGCTACCTTTACCTCTCAACCCTTTTACCATCCTTCCCCAGAAAATGTCAGGAGCTGTGCTAGATGTTACACTCAGGCTGCTGAGGTGGGTGCTGGGGTGGTAGCTGGAGGACAAGTAGCCCAAGACTGCAGCTCGCAGATAAGACCTGACCCAGCTCCACAAACAAAGACCACCTGGAAGGTGGGCCATCTCTGCAATGAGCCTACAAGTCAGTTTCTCTTGATTTCAGCTTCTTCACCAGGCTGAGTTTTGACAGAGGGGCACCTGGTCCTGGAAACTGGTGTGCTTGTTACACGCAGCATTGTGAACCCACATGCTGGTGATGCAGGCTAGAGCTTTATTTTTACAGTCTACCCACTTGGGGACATTCCCAGCCTGCCTCTGTGGGCATAGCAGCCTTCTTTCTTTAACTTGGCCTTCACCCATTCCCTTAGCAGCTTCTCCTAAAGCTCTTCACTTCCAGCTTCCAGAATGCCACCGGACACACATGCAGGCACTATGTGACACTACCTGCACCTGGCCTTGTCCCCTGGATGCAGATTCAAATGGAGTGACCCATTGTATACCTGGTTGCCCTGGACTGGGCTGTCAGTGGTCACTAGTGGGGTGCAGATGTGATCAGCTGGCATCCTGGTGCTTTCTCTGAGGATGTGAGCTACTCTCCAGCTCCAGGATGTTCCTGAGGCACTGGACAGTAGTGGCATTTCCAGGGGCCCTTGACATAGATGCAGACTCCATTCCTAAGGTCCTCAGGTTTTCCTACCCTTTGGTGACAGAAACCGCAACTGGCTGGAACCCAGAACACCAGGGGGAAGGGAGGATGGTCCTCTGCTCTGGAGCTACCTTACCCACAGGCACACAGCACTGTGCAGATGGGGATAAAGACAGGTAACCAAAGTTCAGAGCACTAAGCACAGGGGATGGCAGGTGGCCTCCTACCAGGGCACCAGGAAGGGAGGTGGTACCAGACCCCACAGGACAGGGTAGGTGCTCAGCAGATCACCTCCACCAGAGACTGGTGTACCCTGCTGGCCCACATAGTTTCCCTTTTTCTTTCTTTCTTTCTTTCTTCTTTCTTTCTTTCTTTCTTTCTTTCTTTCTTTCTTTCTTTCTTTCTTTCTTCTCTCTCTCAGTCTCTCTCTCTCTCTCTCTCTCTCTCTCTCTCTCTCTCTCTCTCTCTCTCTCTCCCTCCCTCCCTCCCTCCCTCCCTCTCGAGACAAAGTCTCATGATGCAGTTTAAGCTTGCCTTGAACTAATTGTGTAGTCCAGGCTGTCCTAGAGCTCATGGAGATCCTCATGCCTCAAACTCCCAAGTGCTGGGATTACAACTATATACTACCACAGCCATCAAGTTTTCCATTTTCAGAATGCATTGCTGCCTGTAATCCCAGTACCTGGGAGGCTGAGGCAGGAGGATCACTGCAAGTGCAAGACCAGCCTGGGGTACAAAGTGAGGCTAGCCTGAACTGCACAGCAAGACCCTGTCTCAAAAAGACAAAAACAAAAGCAAATAAAATGCATCGCTGGGACAGTGAGACCACGCAGAAGACTAAATGCCTGTTTATACAAGCTCAGGGACCAGGGTTCAATCCCCTGCACCACATACTGTGCCAACCCCACCCCCAGGCACACTGAGCCAGCCACTGAGACCAGGCATGGTGGCGCACGCCTGTAATCCCATCAGTGGAGAGACTGAAAACAGGAGGGTCACTACAAGTCCAGGCTGCATAGTGAGACCCTGTACCAAGTACATAAAATAAATAAATACAAATTTTAAACAAATAAAATGCATGCTAAGAATGAAGAACCAGGGCCCTCAGTGACTTCCTTGGAAATGGTCCCTCCGTGGGCGGCCCCAGGCTCACAGCTGCCCTAAGCAGAGGTGTGTAACTAGCCAAGAGCATGCTCTTCTCACTCCCACTTCAGGCTGCACCGATGGGGGCTGCTTCCAAACCTCTCAACACAAACCAGCTCTATCATTCCTCATGGTCCAAGCTATGCCTGGCGCATCTTAGGGGAGCACAATAGGAAATGAAGAGTGTCGACACCACACTGAGCCCAGAAGCCAACGGACATCAGGACCTGGGCTTCAGATGAACTTGGGTGCTGCTGCCTGGGGGCATTCGGGACAATTTTACTACAGCACCTGCACACACACTGAGGCCACTCAAGGAAGGCTCAAAACTAACACAGGATGAGACTAGAGGGCAAAGGATGACATGTACATTAGTCTACAACAGGCTCATCACACAACGCTGGGCAGTGTCAGGATGGCTGCCCCTTGAAGTCACCAGGAAACTGAGGTTCCAAGACCTTAAAGGTTAGCTGCACTTGGTGCAGGCCTGCAGGGCCCCAAACCCTCTCAGCAGTCCTTCCCTTGTCTCCACTGTTGAGGCAGGGAGTCAGGACCAAGAGGAGTTAGAGCTGAAGAGGGGGACCATGACATTCACTCAGTGGTCCTCCCCAGAGGGGCTTGGAAGAGCCCAGAGAGGCCCTACGGAGCACCATTCCTGGCCATGAAGTGCCGCCTGGATGCCCCCATAGGCTCAGGAAGACAACAGAGGCCACAGATGCCAGGCCAGGCTGGGCTGGCAAGCACCTCGGCTACTGCCATCAGGAGTGACAAAGCCCATAGAGAACCACCCAGGACAACTTCCAACCAATTATGCCAGAATACCCATCCTAAATCATATGACTGCAACGGCTCAGGGGGTGCACCACTTCCCCCAGGAGGAGATCCTGCTCAGAAAAAAATAGGATAAATGAAGAAAAGACTCATTTAAGTACCTACCTATGATGGAATCCCTCCGGAAAACGTCTCTATCAAAAATGTAAAATGACAGGTGGCGAAAAGTCCGAGGAATTTCACAGTAAAAGTCTTCTCCATAAAAAGGGCTGGACAAACAAACAAAATGCACCATCATTAGAACTTGCACCACTGTCTGTTTGTGAGGGTTGTTGCTGAGAGGCCATGCTAAGCAGTGTCTGAGCATACACCTGTGTCCTGAGGCCACTTGCCTGCATTTCTCTGTTCAGAAGGAAAATGGACTCAGTAGGTGCAGACCGCAGAGGCCTGGTGGAACAGCCCGTGTTCCTCTCAAGGGCCTGGAATGGACTTCTGTGCTTGGCCCAGCCTGAGCTCAGGGAATAAGAGCTCAGTGTGGACCCTGGTCATTCACAAATGACTTCTATGACACATGGCCAAGACTGGCACAGATCCCATGATGGCTGCAGGGCTTCTGGTGACTGGTGTGGGCAGTGTGGTTGTGTTCACAGGAAATAGCCTCCAGATTCCTCATGCTCCTGTCCTGCAGAGATCCCATCTGAGCCCAGGGAAGAGGGCCCTGCCACAGAGCTGAGCCCACCACTCCCAGCTCAGCAGCCCAGCATGAGTCCCCCACAGCTGTGCAACCACAGACACGCACCTAAAATAAACCGAGGCTCTGATTAAGGGATGGGAAGTCAGCAGGCTCTGCCACTACACAAACCTCCCTATTGTTCTGGTCCCGCCCAGGTCAGGGCCAGGAAACGCTGCCTCAGGACCCCACAGTGACACCCTGCACCCTGGGAGCTGTTCAGGAAACTGAGCGATTACTCCAGGGTAGATACACTACTCTACTTACAATCAGATGCACCCTGACTCCTTGCAAGTTTATGGCTAAGGTCCAAGGAGGAAATGTCAATTATTCAGGCAGGCCCTGAGGCAACATATCCCATTCTGAAGAGCCAGGAACACAGGGTTCCGGAACAAGAGCAGCCACACACCAAAGGAGACTGCTAGGCCAGCCCCTGCATGTGCGTGTGCACACACATGGAATAAACTCAGAGTGTTACACACCTGAACATGAGTCTACAGCTGCTCAGAGAAAATGGGATCCATCTGTAACCTGAAATGGGGAGGATTTCTTAGACATGACGCCAGTGTGCCATCCAGAGTATGTAAAGAAAGCTTACTACTTAACAGTAAGATGACACATAATTCAATCATTAAAAAAGGCAAAAGATTTGAACATAAAAAACCCACCAAACAAGACAAATGGACGAGAGGCATGTTAGAAATGCTGAACACCATTAAAAGTCCCAGAAATGCAAATTAAACCAGGAGACAGAGTGAGGCTTCTGTGGAGCCTCGGGGTGTGAAGGAACCAAGAAGGACTCTGAGCCAGTGGCTCATCCCACCCCTCAACCCCCACATGTGCACTGACAGCTCTCTTGCACTTCACTGGCTTCTTCCTCTGAATAACTTGGTTATTCAGAGACAGGGTGAAGGTGGCTTAAAAAACCATTTCTTTGTCATGAAAACAAAATCTTCAAAGGCAAATAAATCTAAAATGCTGAGACTGGGACAGCTTGGGGGCAGAGAGGTAATATTGTCTTACCTTCTCATGAACATGGAATGCCTGTGGGCTCACTCAATGAACACCACTTTAGGAAACACTCTCAGGGAATCAGACTTTGTAGCATGCTCTCTCGTGGCCAGCCTTCCCTCACCCATAGCCCACTTAGACCTGCTGGTTGTGGGCGGACAGCAGGCCAAGGGACCAGGAAGAGCTGCAGGACTGCCACACCCTATGCATGCTCAGCTTGCAGCTCTCCACGGCTCTGTGTATCCAAGGCCTCAGAAACATCATGAAATTGAGGGCAGAGTCCAGGGACCCCTGAAACCATGGGGAAGATCCTCCAGAGGCAAAGGGCCCAAGTGTGTATGCATGCATGTCTGCCCGTGGCCTGTGCATAAAGTGTGCAAATGCCCAGGGATCCAAGTGCACACAACTATGAGTGCACCCGTGGGTTTGTATGTATGTATATAGGCGTGCTTGTGGACAAAGGCCTACGGATGTGTATAGGTATGTGATGTAAGCATGTGTGTGTGCATTTTTGTGTGTTTGGGCATGAGAACATGCTCATGGGCAAATGTGCACACAAGTGTGTATGAGCCCCTACATACAAGTGTGTGCGTGTGCTCCTGATGGAAGTACATATGCATGTGGGCAAGTGTATTGCACATATATAGAAGCACTACTGGACAGTGGAGTGTCTCAGGGCACTGCTCTTTGAGGACAAGCAAGCCCATCTGCCCCATGTGTAGTCACAGGTGCTAGAAGGTTAAGTGACTCAGAAACAGGACAAGCCCCTATGTCACCCATGGGCTCCTGGGCACAGCCAGACAGGATGTTCACTCTGGAGAGACCCATGTCCCGTAGGCCTCAGCCCCAACCACAGGAGAAACTACTACCAACCATTAAACCCAGAAAGGGAAAATAGAGCCATTGGGTCCCCACATGTCCAAAATCTCAGGGCTAAGACACTGCCCCCCAAAACCCATAAAGAATTCTGAACAGGTTCATTATAATAGTCGTTCATAAAATATTTGAAGTTTCTAAAACTATGAAACAGTACCTCTGCTCCTACGCCGATGTGCCACAGCGCTGTGTGGGAACTAGCCTTGAGCTGTCGTGGGCACCTGCCCCTGTTCCTGGCTCCAGCTCCAGTAACAATGTGGGGGCTTCCTGTGGCCATGCATGCATCACCTCACCCAGGGTCTCTGTCATGACCATTCCAGCTAAGGAGCTTGGGTAGCACGTTAATCAGTATTTTGCCATGGTGACAAGAACCCAAGAGAAGCAAACCAACAGAGTAGAGTTGCTCTGTCTTGCAGAGGTAGAAGTCAACTTTCCTATCACTTTTATACCTGGTGGAGCAAGACTCATCACCTCATGACAGGGAGGCAAAAGAAGAGAAGAGGAAGTGGCCAGGGTCTACATGCCCTCCAAGGGACACCCCATGACCTAAGACCACCCGCCAGGCTTCATCACCTCCCCAAAGCACCACCCTAAGGAATAAGTCTTCAGCACATGGTCCTGGGGGCACTGCAGAGCCAAAGCAGGCAAGCATCAAGATCAGTGTGCCATTCCCTACAGAGCCCCAGAACACGATCCATACCAGCCTGATCTGTAGGAATTGGGGACCCCAAAGGAACTCTGGACAAATGCAGAATACCTTGAAAGAAGCTCACGGAGCGCCACAACTCTCCACCATCTTCCTGGAACAATCAAAAGCCCCTGATTATGAACTCATGCACTAAAATCCATTCCCCCCACCACTTCAATCCTGGCTGCCTGTCTCAGGGTCTCAGCCCCATGGAGATCTAGCATGGCCTGCTTCCCTGACCACAGGGGCTCAGCTAGTGTCAGTCACCAGTTCCTGAGGGCTCTTATCTCACAAGCAAATGATGTATATATGAGTGTGGTTATTAAAATCCAAATGTGAGTAGAGCTGGTGACCCTGGCAGGAAGCAGACGAGGTCCGTTGGAGGTGACTGCAGAGTTGACCACTGGGCCACACATTTCCTGGCTCATCCGTTCAGTCTGGCACAGAGGCCAGGGGTGTGGGGGGCCGGCCCTGCCTGGGGAGCAGTGAGCATACTCTGAGGCAGGTGTTCAGCTCTCAGCCCTAGCTTTGTTCATGCAAACAAGTGGTGGTAATAACATCATCCACAAGGTCCCTGTGAGCACCATGGAGATGCCCCTCATCCTGTTCTATTATGAAATCATTATTAATTACTCTCCATAGATGTATGAAGGACAGAATGACTCGAGCATGGAGCTCACTACTGACATTTTGTGCTTGCCCACGTGACAATCTGTTCACAGACTGGACTTCCTGTGTGCTCTCTTTTGTCTACCAACTAACCCAATTTCCAGTAGGGAGGCCACCTGGCCGTGGATTGGACCCAGTGTGAATGTCCTGTGAGAATCTGTGTACTGAGTTAACCTCACTGTGAGGTGGTTAGGGGGTGGAGACCTAATCCAAGTGTGGTGTGCAGAGGGGGCCTGTGGGAAGGGTCATGGGTTAGGTAAAGTAAGCTAGGCAAGGGGCACATCCTATAATCTTAACCTGATCACAGGGAGGCTGAGGTGGGAGGTTTGGGCAACTTAGGGAGACTCTGTCTCAAAAAACAAAACAAACCAATCATTAGACAGGGTCATGAGGGGGAGACTCCATGATCAGATCCTGGCTAGAGACAGAAACCAGAAGACACTCAAGAACATGCTTGTGTACCTTGTCTCCACATGATGCTTGGTCCGCAGGAAGCTGCCAGCCTTGAACCTCCTGAACCGTAAGCCCAAACCTTCTCTTTACAGTCTGTCAGGTGCTGCCTAACATGATGCATCTATTTTGGCCTAAAGTGAGTAAAATTAACCATATTTCGATTTCAACCCACATGTGACTAGTGACTATCAATTGGACAGCACAGAGATAGTGTCCAGGTTTGCAGCCAGCTCTGTAGGAGCACCCTGGCCCCAGTGCCAGTTATGTGCACACCAAGGCCCAGCCCTTACTTTTCTTGATGAGTGGCACCTCTTTGCTCTCAGCAATGCCCAGATGATAGAGTGAACCAGGAGCCCACCTTGCTTAGGGTGTGGGTGCGCTTCTCCCAGCATGCACCCCAGCACAGATGCATTAGCCACGGGATGTGGCAAGATTGGGTCATGGTCTTCTAGTAACTTCTCCAATTCCTGTTGAGCTCAAGGCCCTGGAGAGCCAGAACCCCAGGTCGTGCATGACTGCTCCTCCCTGCTTCCACTCTTATGAGGACCAGGGGCAAAGCCAGGTCAGACGCCATCCTAGGTGCTGCCCTGGAGCCAGCAGCACAGCTGCCATCTACTGACCTTCCTCAGGTGAGCATGTCCCAGTAAGACTTCACCCTTGTCCTTCACCTTCAGGACAAGGTGACCCATAATTAGATCTATGTGCAAATCCTTTGAATTTTCCTGTGTTTTACACCTTTATAATCTGAACCTAGTTTGCTTTTTAAAAAAATATTTATTACTTTATTTATTTGGTACAGGGCCTTGCTATGCAGCTTGGATTCGTAGTGATCCTCCTGTCTC